ATTCGGCTTGTGCCTTGGCTTTTTCCGCTCTGGTTCGGCTGATATTGATTGCTACCTTCTTGTTCCTCCTTGCTTCGATTTTATCCAGTGTACCAACAGTGATCCATTCCTTGTGATGGTGCTTCTTTTGGCCCAGAACCTCTTGACACGTTGAAACGATTGCCTCCTTGATACCTTTCCAGCTGCTCTCCATGGTAGTCCCCTCTCCATTGAGTATGTCATGAAAGGCCTCGAACCTGTTGCTGAGGGTTATGTTGAATTTCGAAGGCAGTATTAAAGGCAGTATTAAACTTTTGTGATGTTGTCCGCGCCGTTGTCCACTGCTTCTTGAGTTTTAGTTTCATCTTGGCGACCAGCAAATGATGATCGGATGCTATATCAGCTCCTCTTCTGATTCTCACATCCTCCATCGTCCTCCTGAACTTTTTGTTGATGCAGATATGGTCGATTTGATTCTGTGTAGTGTGATCCGGTGAAATCCAAGTGGCTTTGTGTATGTTTTTGTGTGAGAATATGGTGCCACCTATGACCAGTTTATTGAAGGCACATAGGTTTGCAAATCTCTCACCATTTTCGTTCCTTCCTCCCAGTCCATGTTGTCCCATGACGTCTTCGTATCCAGTGTTATCCATTCCATCCTTAGCATTGAGATCTCCCATCAGAATTGTCAGGTCCTTAGTTGGGCACTTCTCGAAGATTGACTGCAGCCTGTCGTAGAATTGGTCTTTAGCGTCTTCGTCGTAGTCATTGGTAGGCGCATAGCATTGGATGATGTTCATTGTAATGCCCTCTCTCTTTGTTCTGAAGGAGGCTTTGATGATCCTCGGTCCATGAGATTCCCATCCTATAAGTGCATTTTGTGCTTTTCTGGACAGCATCAATGCAACTCCTTGTGTATGTGGGGCATTTTCTTCTTCATGACCGGAGTATAACAGAAGTTCCTCTGAAGATAGTCGTTGTTGTCCAACCTGCGTCCAATGTGTTTCGCTGATTCCAAGAACCTCCAGGTTGTATTTTCTCATTTCTGCAGCAATTTGGAAGACTCTGCCGGTCTCCCACATTGTTCGGACATTCCATGTACCTATAAAAATTGTCGCTCTGGTTGTAAGAAGGTGCATCGGCCTCATGACTTCCGAATGAACTCGGCTTTCATCATGAGACGTCATAATTATTCCTTCTACTCCCAGGGCAGAGTTTGAATGATTTTTTCTGGTTAGCGTTTTTTTAGCGAGTTGATTTTCTACGGGATGGGGTCGCTAACCCCATACCCAACCCTCCTCCTTTACCCGGGCTTGGGACCGGCAGTAACCCCCAGAGGAGCTACAGGCGGAGTTAATTTTTTCAATTACTTCATTTAATTACATTTTCTATGATTAATCTTTTCTTTCATTACTATTGCTACTTATTATACATAATGACTTGTTCTGACGATTTTATCTAGCTGTGTTAATGGGATATGGTAAATGGAACCGTTGTATACATATTCCAGGTTTTATGTTGTGTATGATCAGTTGATACTGTAATGAACAGAACACGAATGGGGACAATCGAATGTATTTACCGCGAAAATTACAGACTATTTCAGTAAAATCTGACTACCATACAGCAAACAGGTAATTTGAACACTATCAATGAATTATAAGCAAAGATGAATAGTGACTAACAGTAGAATCCAGGACGCACGTTTCGTCCTATTTGGGACTCGTCAGCTGGATATACCAGCATCTCAGAGTTGATATTCACTTTGGGACTCGAGCCTAGTACCTTTCGCTTCAAACGTCATCGCGTTATTCACTCAGTTACAAACAAACAATACTTAGCAAATCTATCAATGAATTCAGAAGGGTTTTGTGGAGAATTTAGAATTTTCATAGTTGCTCAAAATCGTGGATTGGTTGAAGTTAGACATTAACACCCTTGGATGCCGGCCGGCTCAGTGGTCTATCAGTCAAGTGCTCTGGTGCGAGACTGTCAGATCCTGGGTTCGAATCTGGCTCAAGAGGCGGGACCGCAGATGCGCACTGCTAAGGAGTCCCATAATAGGACAAAACGGCCGTCCAGTGCTTCCATTTATTTATTTATTTATTTAAACACATATATATTGGTACAAAAGGGCACCAGATAAATATGCGCCACACAAAATAATGAAAGTAGGAAGAGAAGGGATGAAAAGATAAGGCGGACTAAAATGTACAACCAGAAGACTCTTTCAAATAGGAAAGTAAGAACCATACTTTATGTAGAAAGTAAAAGAAGGTTGCAGCAGGATCGCCACTGGTTTCTATTCTGAGCCATATCTGATAACGTCTCTAGCCACTGTGTTGCACCATCTATCGGACCCCAACCAAGGAGTCGTGAAGGACCAACAGAAGCTAGCCCTTTGCAGCTCTCTTTCATGCCACGACACCATGTCATACACTGACCTCCTCTCCGCTTTTTCCAACCAGTCCCAGGGTCGGCAAATAATGCACGACGTGGAAGTCTCTGGGACGACATTCGTAAAACATGTCCAAGCCACCGAAGTCGGTGTTTTAAGATGGTGACACCAATTGAATTATCGTCTCTGCGCCTGAACACACGATGCCGAACCTCTGTATTACTAACATAGTGTTGCCACTGTATGTCAGCATTCCTTCGGAGACAACGATGATCGAACACAGAGAGACATCTAACATCCTCAACTCGGAGAGGCCAGGTTTCACAAGCATAGAGCAAAACTGCTCTCACCGACGCGTTGTAGATCCGAACTTTTACAGCCAGACTAACAGTTCCTTAGCCAGAAAGTCATCACCATCTTTAAAAAGAGCCGGAGGTAAGTCATCTGGGCCAGGTGATTTGTAGCGCTTCAAGAGTTGGAGCTCGTTGCGGACTTCCGCCTCGTTTGGTGGATCAGTCGTCACCGGTCATGGGGGGTAGGACAAGCTGGTTGATGTTGCCGGAGCAGCAGGCCAGTTGAACTGCCCTTCGAAAAATTCCGCCCATCGTCCAAGACGTCGACAGATGTTAGCGATTGGCATCCCGTCATCCTCGTAGATTGTTTCACTCACACCAGACTTCTTGCTGCCAGTGGCTCGGATGAGTTGGAAGAGCTTCCGCCAGTTACCAGATGCAGCTGCTGCTTCCATCTCATTAGCACGCTCCGACCACCAGGCTTCTCGGTCCTTACGCAAGCTTTGCCCAATTTCATTACGTAACAGCCTTCGTTTGTGGTCAAATTCACGGTCACTCGGAGTAGACCGACGGGCTTCCGTCAGTTGTAAGGAGCCAGAAGAAACCCAGTGCTTGAAAGCGGGACGTTTCGCGAAGCCGCAAGCGGCTTTACTCGCCATTTTCGTGGTGTCGTGAAGATGCAACTAATGCTCATCTATACTTTTCGGTGGGATGGTAGCTAGCCTAGAGGCTAGCTCCGCTCGAAACTTACTTGCAACAGATGTTGCAGCCAGTTTACTAACATCGAACCGTTGGTGGTGGTCAATCCTTCGGCCACTGAAAAGTAAGGTGAGATTGGCGCAGACCAGGTCATGATCAGACTCCAGATAGGTACTCCAAAAGGAGCGGCAGTCTTGTACATAACCACGCCAGCGGTAGCTGATCGCGATGTGATCAATCTGAGTCCAGGCTTGGGATGCAGAGGGAGGACGCCAGGTGGCACACCGGCGATGACTGTAACGGAAGTTAGTGCTAGCCAGAAACAGGTTGTGGTCTGTGCACAGTTGCAGCAAACGGTCCCCGTTATCTGTCCTGCTGCCAACAAGTCCCCATCGGCCACCTAAACGACTCTCTTCTGTGCCTAGACGCCCGACCTGAGCATTCAAGTCTCCGGCTAATACTACAATATCTGTCGAACGCGCTTTCTGGAGAAGAACTGTTAACTGGTGGTAAAATTCATCCTTGATTGCATCCGGGCTGCAATCTGTCGGGGCATAGGCGGAGATGACGAAAAGACACCGTTTCTCACGCCGATTTCTTCTCACTTTGATGGAACTTTCTAATCTAACAACACATAACCGACTGTTAATGGGGATCCAATCGATTAGTGCTGCCTCAGCCCTAGCGCTTAGTGCAACACCAACGCCTGCAAGACCAGACGAAGATGCCACAGGGTCCCCGGATAAGCGCACGTGGAACAAGCTTTTCGAAGCGACAGATGGAAAGCGAATTTGTAGTACTTCACTAGAGTCTTGAATACGGGTCTCGGATAGACAGCAAACATCAACATTAAGCCTTTCTAAAGACATAGCCAGCCCTATCTGTTGTCTGATATGCATTAGTGTGCAAACGTTGAAGTAAGCCAGCTTGAACGACGTACGTGGTTTCAGGAAGACTCCTTCAGTATTCGTAATAGGTGGAAGCATTCACTTTCAACCAGAAAGTGACTGGAGATCGTTTAGATAGGACAGAGTTTCCACCGTGGGTGAGCTACCGCATAAGTTGGAAAGGAAGGATACACAATTTGAGAATAAAGGGAGTGAAAAAGCGACGTAGTAAATAATAGTAATAATAATAACAATAATAATAATAATAATGGTAATAATAATAATAATAATAATAATAGTGTAAATTTTCTTGTCTCTAGTATGAGCGGAAATAGTATCGTCAATAGAATTCATCATTTCATTTATTTGTGTGTGGGCTGTGATACTGCCCGGGTGTCCAAACCGAAGCAGGTGGTTTTCTTAGGGGGCCACACTCCGAGCCTTTGACCTAAAGGTGTGATCCACAAAACAGTGGAGCATCGTGAGGAGATGCAGTCCCATGGTAGCCGGTGACCAACAGCAGGTTCGTCCGCCATTCGTTCCATCAGGATACTGGAGCCAATGTGCACCATTGGTTTGAAATGAGAGTTTTCCAACTCCATTAGGTGGACTTTCTGTGTCCACCAATCCGGTTAAAGCTCCGGACATTCGCTTTTCGTCCTCTCACTTTCGTAAACAGCACCGCCGCTACGAGAAGGCAGTGAATAGGACTTCTCTTGCAGAGGCTGTATATTCGCTGGCCATGTGAGAGCATTTCGAGAGGGAGAATGGACTCTCCCCACTCTCGACCGTACCAGGGCATTTGGTGGTCTAACTTTAATTGATTCATGATTTCAACTATCAATGAATTGTCTCAATCTTGATCATTCTTTCTGCAAATTTCCGTCCTCTATCTTCGATTATTATTGTTCATACATTTTCATACTAGTTGAATTTCATTTCGGTTCTTTCCTTATCGATCTTCTAATGAAATATATTCATTGTTTCATCATCATCATCATCCAAATCATCATCATCATCATCATCATCATCATCATCATCATCATCATCATCATCATCATCATCATCATCATCATCATCATCATCATCATCATCATCATCATCATCATCATCATCATCATCATCATCATCATCATCATCATCATCATCATCATCATCATCATCATCATCATCATCATCATCATCATCATCATCATCATCATCATCATCATCATCATCATCATCATCATCATCATCATCATCATCATCATCATCATCATCATCATCATCATCATCATCATCATCATCATCATCATCATCATCATCATCATCATCATCATCATATACTACTTCTATGGATATATAAGCAACCGACACTACACTTGTCTCCCTTCACCTTTAAAACATTCATTCTTGCAGTGATTCCATTCAACGTGCCACTCTCTCCACCATAATATAACTACAATATCAATTCATAGAATAAATTTGAAACTGTGTAACATAAATTATGTACAACCTTATCTACTATTAAATGTAGTACATAAATCTACACACTTTAATATTAGTTACATGTTAATACATGCCAAAATAACAATAATAATAAACTGTGGTTATACATCACTATTCATTTTGTTGAATTTTAATTGTTTAGATAATGACTCTAAAGAAATTTGTTTAAAATAAATTTTTAGTTTTTTTTTTTTTTGTTGTTTCTTTCATCAAACCAATTTATTCAAATGATAACAGAAATCAGAAAAAAAAAAAAGGGGGGGGGGGTTTGTGGAGATTGTAATTGAATTCATGAGTTGATAAAAAAACAAGACTGATATGAAAAATCTGAATGTATTTGACGATCTTTTCGTCGTAGTATAGGACTTGTGAATAGTGTATATCCATTATTCTGGTAGCGAGATTCAAACTCAAAACCTTCGATTTTGCACGTGAATGATTAACTTATAGATCATTAAGTGCGAGAACAAAGGTCCTAAGTTAGAATCCTACTTTCAGGTTTCCCGTAATTGTCTTATTTATTTTATTTAAACACATTAATATTGGTACAACGGGAAATCAGGTATATATAAACCACATAAATCTCATTGGATTTTTGTGAGAGCTGTGATACTTTCCAAATGCCCAAACTGAAGTAGGTGGTTTTCTAAAGGGACTCTCCTCACTATCAGCCGTACCAAGTCATTTGGAGGCTCATAAAGTTATAAACATAAAAAAATTGAAATTTTGTTTTTCTTTTTTTTTTAAATTATTTGTCACTATTGTGCAATAGTCACTGTTTAATTAACCGTAGCCACGCTACGTAACCCAGCGCGAGTTTTAATAAATTGTCAATGTAAAATTATAAAATTAAAATTAATTCAGTATTGTGTACTGTTAAACAAAATATCATTTTCATAATTGAAATCATGAGTAAATTGAAGCTAGACTACTATGAATAACCTGATAGCACTGGATGGTCGTTTCGTCCTATTATGGGACTCCTCAGTAGTGCGCATCCGCGATCTCGCCTCGCGAGATTCGAACCCAGGACATGTCAGTCTCGCGCGCGAGCACTTAACCGATAGACCACTAGACTGGTCGGCATCCAATGGTGTTATTGTTTAACTTTAACTAATACACGAATTTGAGCAATCATTCACGGCCGTTTAGTGCTTCCAGGTTTTCCAACACTCGAGATCCTCTTGCATTATATGTAATGAGAATTAGGCAATGAAAGAGAGCATAAGAATTAACCATACAAAAGAGATAATATAAGTAAACTTTTCAATGGTTTGAGGAGTCCCACAATAGGACGAAACGGCCGTCAAGTGCTTCCAGGTTTTCGATGATGGTCTATGAGAGATTATGAAAGTATTGCATAGTAACAAAATTTTCTTTATCTGTTAATGTTATCTGCAAGATTTATTATTTTCCTGTTGCTGATGTTATAGTCTATTTATATTGATATATCCATATTTTGAGCAGTTTGTCTAAATATTCCCTTATAGATAGATGGGATCGTGACTAACACATTACTTCATATCTATTTTCCTTCCTTATATACAATCTCTCTTTTATATATCATCACCACCACCACCACTAAATTAATTACTTCTATGAATTTGGTGTTCATCTTGTTGTGCTAATGAGTAAGGTATGGCAACATGGACCGATGCATATGTGTGCCTAGTCCTACGTTCTAGCTGATTATAACTAACAGTGAAATCTAAAACTTTCAGTAATTCACTGGATAATACATTGACGTTTGAATTCAAAGATAAACAATTCAGATCTCAGTACGATTCATCAACACTATGGTGCACTTAAACCTAACCAACAATTCCTATATAAGACGAACATGTGTCCTAGATCTTTTAGAGCTACACATTTCTTATTATGTTACTTACTTACTTATTTACGCCTGTTACTCCAAGTATTCTCCAACCCACTCTGTCCTGGACCTTCTTTTCTAGTTTTATCCAATTTTTGTTCACTCTTCTCATGTCTATCTCCATTTCTCAGCGTAATGTGTTCTTTGGTCTTCCTCTTCTCCTTTGACCTTCAGGATTCCATGTGAGGGCTTGTCTTGTTACTCAGTTTCATGCTTTCCTCAATGTGTGTCCTATCTACTTTGAGCGCTTCTTCTTGATTTCTTCCTCCACTGGAATTCGGTTTGTTGTCTCTCACAGTAGCTTGTTGTTGATAGTGTCTGGCCATCGGATCCGAAGTATCTTGCGTAGACAACGGTTGATAAACACCTGTATCTTTTGGTTGATGGCTTTCGTAGTTCTCCAAGTTTCCACCTTATACAGTAGAACTGTCTTGACACTTGTATTGAAAATTCTAACCTTGGTGTTGGTTGACAGCTAGTTGTTTTGAGTTCCAGATGTTCTTCAGTTGTAAATATGCTGTTCTTGCTTTATTCTTACTTTGTTCTTATTATGTAGATATACAAAATGTACGCGCTTGTAATTCAGTATCCACGACCATTTTTCTTCATGAAGTGTTTTGTTCATTCAATGATACATTATCGATCAGTTGTTTTTTTATTTTTCTTATTTACAATGACCTTGATTTACCCACTTGAAAATAAATAGTCATATTATTACAATTATCTTATTATGTAACGACGATTTCAACCTTTGATACTATTGAGTTAATGTAATGATACCTTTAGTTGAACAATCGAATTCATTAGTCAATCTAAGCTAAATCACTATTTAAAATATGAGAGTAATAGATCACCGCTTCGTACTAGTGTCAAACTTCTTAGTAGTAAGCATCTATGATTCCTAACACAGGACTCGAACTCATAGCCTTCAATCTCGCGATCAAATGCTTAAGCTTTATACTAGTGAGCCAGTAACCGACAGTGTTAATGTCTAACTTCAGTTGATGATCAACTCTACGTCTATTTTCTGAGGTGGATAACTATCTCACACTTGATACGGATTGAACTCTACTGATCACTGTTCCTCACTAGAACTCCAGGAGTTCCACTTTAAAACTAGTCACTGGTGAGCACTTGATGATTATTATGAGAATGAGGATTTGTGAAAATTGTATTAGTTTTAACAGTTGAATTCATGAGTCAATCTATGTTTGATCACCAATGAAAACTTGGAATCACTGAACAACAGTTTCGTCCTTGTAATGGACTCCTCAGAAGTTGAAATTACTACAATCACTACAAATCTCCATTCAGATTCTTTTATTTAACTGAGAAAGTTTGTAAAAATTAAGTTAATTCCTAAATTGTATTTGTGAAAGATTTATTTCCGTTGAAGTATTTATGAATATCAAGAATTAGTGAACATCTACTTTGTTTTAATATTGAATCCTTCATGAGTACTTGCCTACGAACCTTCCAAAGGTTGAGATTAAATTTAACTCTCATAGTGAATACCTAACAATTAAAACTGCTGTAGTTTAATATTTGAAGGTAACAAATATCCAATAATCCTAACGGAGATCAAAACGTAACATATGCCGCATATTACTTACTTACGCCTGTTACCTCTAGTGGAGTAGCATAGGCCACCCACTAGCATTCTCCATCCAACTCTGTCCTGGAGAATACTTTACAGTTCGTTCCAGTTAACATTCATCCTTTTCATACCTGCTTCTATTTCCCGAAGTAATGTATTTTTTGACCTTCCTCTTTTTCGCTTCCCTTCAGGATTCCAAGTTAGCGCTTGCCTCGTGATGCAGTTTGGTGATTCCCTTAATGTATGTCTGATAACTTCCAATGTCTTTTTATAATTTCCTCATCATCTGAAAGCTGGTTTGCTCTCTTCAACAATAAGCTGTTGTTAATGGTATCCGATCAACGGATATTGAGTAACTTACATAGACGATTGTTTATAAATACCTTTACATGTTTGATAATGGTTGTAGTAGTTCTGTAACTTTCAGCTCCATACAGTAGAACTGTTTCGACGTTCGTATTGAAGATTTTGACTTTGATATTGGTTGACAGTTGTTTTAACACCCATAAGTTCTTCAGTTGTAGAAATGCGGTCCTTGCTTTGTTAATCTTCACCTTCACATCTGCATTAGATCCTCCTTTTTCATCAATCATGCTTCCCAGGTACGTGACTGTTTCTCCAAAACGATACCCTTCAACTACATGTACCTTTTAAATTCATCAGTTGATTGAACCTTAAGATATTCAGAACTAAAATGAATCACATTGACTTTATCCCCCTCCATTGAAATATCATCCAGTACTTTATACTTCTCTTAAGTATTTGATCGATTCTTATTCATAAGATTGTTCATCTTTTAATTGATATACATTTTCTTTCTTATCTCTTCCTAAAAAAAAATAGAATATAAAACAACAGTTTTGTCAGTGCTATAATGGATCATAATGAAAAACTGATCAATAATACTGAATCAATTCATTACGTAACAAATTATGTAACTAATCCAATATACCATATAAATCAACAAGACAACTATGATCATAATAATCAATATTATCGTAATCATCATGATCATCATCATCATCATCAACATCATCCTTATCAGCATCATCATCATCTGGATCATCTTCAACAAAAACATTATCAATCTTCTAATGATCCATTACAACAATCATCATATATACATCATACAATGAATATAGAAGAGCCAATGATTCAAATAAATGATCCATTTTCAGTGATATCAACTACTACTAATACTACTACTAATAATAATAATAATACTAATACTACTACTATTACTCACAATCCAATCACATATATTGAAGAAATGAATGTAACTAATAGTGTTACAGCTGCAGTAGCTATGGCAACAGCTACTGGAGTTGTTGTAACTATACATCATCCAGAATATTCATTGAATTCTAATGATCAACCTATATTGTCTAATTCTTTTCCATGTTCATCAAATTATAATTATTATCAATATTATTTAAATAATAATCAATCTAATCAAGAATCATTTGATTTATTACCATGGCAACATAATCGTATCAATCATGATTTGAATAGTTGTCTTACATTACAACAACAACAACAACAACAACAACAACAGCAACGACAAGATATTGAAGATGTCGGTACCATTAATGAGACTACTAGTACAACTCCTATTTCTAGTAGTAATCATCATCATAATAATAATAATAATAGTAGTAGTAGTAGTAATGTCAATCTCTTGGAAGAAACCAGAAAGCATAACAGTCGATATTTAAATGATAATGGAATGAAATCTCAAACAAAATTATCTAGTTCCGATGATGATGAAGATTTGAAACGTCAAAATCAAAATATACTTAAATCTGGTATGTTATGCCTTATATGTGAAGATAAAGCAACAGGTAAGACAATAAGAAACATGGTATATGACAGTGAAATTTAGTATGTGCGTTTATTTCCTTATTTGGAACTTATCAACCGGATGTAATTGTATCTTAGAATCAATACTACCTGGAATCATTAGATAAGTGGATAGTGTGAGAGAGTTTGATAAAGAAAGGTTGTGGGTTTAATTCATAGAATGTACATAAACTCTAAGATACATGTACATGTAGGCGACGATTCTCAAATAGGATGAACCTGATCAATTTCAGTCATAAACGTCTATAGGAAGATTTAAAAAAAGTAGTTGAAAAATGAATTATATTGTTTCTTTTCCCATTTTTTTTTTCAAGAAAACTAGTGAAGTTTGCAAGGATTAACTTGAATAAGAAAATTATTCTCATAGAATGTTGATTATTTACTTTTCTACGGGATTCGGTCACTAACTCCATAACCCAACCCTCCTCTTTTATCGCGGCTTCGGATCGGCAGTAACCAGCGAAAGAACTATAAGCGGAGTTATAGAAGGTTGATATCATTTGACAAATATTGAAGAAAAAACAACAAGAAACATTGAATAGACTTCTTGTCTTAATATTAAACTCTTAATAGATGTTCATTTACGATATTAGCAAATGTCATAGAGAGAACTTAAGTTTTAGATCATTAAAGTATTCAGTAACATTAATGATGACTGAATTCATTTGACAGTGTTTGTTTGAAACTTTTCATTAATGTTTAGGACTGCAATTGATCAGTCTCTCTTTTATTGGCATGTGTGTGTACTGTGCGTATTGCCTCGATATAACCTTGATTCACAAGCATTATAAGGAAAGATGGATGGTGAACATTAACTCCAAGATGCAGGTACATCCAGCTGACGAGTCCTAAATAAGACGAAACACGTGTCCTAAATTCTACTGCTAGCCACTATCCATCTTTGCTTAGAATCCTTGTGAAATAGGGCTATATCGAGGCAATACACATAGTATGCATATATGCCAATGAGAGACTGTTTAATTGCAGTTCTAAACATCAATGAGAAGATTCAAACAAAAAATACCAAGTGAATTTAAACTTCACGCCATTGCACAAGCAAGTGCCTATCAGGACTTAGTAGCTGGGTAGATAACGCGATGGCGGTTGGAGCAAGTGGTATTGAGTTCGAGTTCCAGAGTAAACATCAACGCTGAGATGTGGGTTCATCAAAATGACGAGTCCCGAATAGGACGAAACGCACAACCTGAATCTCACTGCTAGCCGCTATCCATCTTTGCTAATAATTAATGATGACTGTTTCAACTTCAAACATCGATGAACTCTACATATCAGTTTTATTTTGATGAAAAAGATTCGTTTTGTTAAGAGTTTGTACAATATGAGACTTAAGTTTCATATGAAACTAACGTCAGCTGATGTACTGAACAATTAATTGTAAAACTCTTGAGTACTATCAAACCACTATTGTATACTGGATTAAACTCGATAGATTGAAGTCTTATGTTTACGACAATCTTCTTGGTACTACACTATGGATTGGTAAGTTAGGATTATTGAATCCTAAATTAATTTTATTGAGATCAGAAACAGGTCTAAGTTAGAATATAATTAAATATCCGGAAACACTGGATGGTTGTCGCATCTCAGCATGGAACCCCGTAGCAGTGAACATTCACAATCCTACAGACAATTGATCGCAGAATCAGTATTTTGACATTCTACGAAAAATTCCCATTAGGCTATTTTACATACATTGAGACACTATTGACTAGACTATTAGTTATTGATGGGCAAATCAGATTTAAGATAACAGATTTTGGATTTAGCCGCAAAATTCATCCATTTAATTGTCTAAATAACATCTTGACATTTTAGCTGATGTCATTTCATGATGGAAACCCTAAATCTAGTTCCTAATCTTAACTATGAACTATAAATCATAATCAAAAGGGGGGTCTGTGGAGATTTCAGTAATTTTGTATAGTTAAGATCATGAGTCAATTGAAGCTAGACCACCAAGGAAAACCTGAACTTACTGGACGACCGTTTCGTCCCATTGTGTGACTCTTCAGCAGTGCACATTCACGATCCCACCTCGCGAGTTTCCAAACCAGGACCTACGTGTCTCGCGCCAGAGCACTAGACCACCGAGCTGGCATTCAACGGTGTTAATGTATAACTTCAACTAATCCATGAAATTGAGCAACCATTCACCAATGTCTCCAGTGAGTTGATATCTTCCGACAAACCGGATTGAACTCTACTGGTTACTGCTTCTCACTAGAACTCCAGGAAATACCTCATGGAGTCAGTCACTAGTGAGCATATGATCATTATCAGAATCTTTATTTTTCATACAAGTTCGAAACCCTCATTTCACCCTAGATTAGTAGATAGACATATTCAAGAACACTACTTTACAGTCATTCAAAGTTCGTCCATAAATTATAGTCTCATCAGATGATTGGATAACACTGAACAAAGATTTAAATTAGAATAACTTAACCATTCCTTATTATTTAATACAAATAACACCTTAATATTCAACATTCACTAATCGGTATCCACTATTCATCAATATCCGAAATACAATTTAAGAAAACGGAATATTGTTTGAATGCATTCCAATTATTTATCAAATAAATGAGTTCGTATTTGTTCAAACATGTTTTTGTACGTTGAATTAAAATTGTAAATAATGTGTTTGTAAAATGTCATTTATAAACACTTATGAAATACTGGACGGTCGTTTCGTCCAAGTATGGGGCTCCTCAGCAGTGAGCATTCACGATCTCGCACTCAATAATTGAACCCAGAAACTTTAGTCTCATGTGTCAGATAGATACAGATACCTACCTTAGAGAATAGATGAATAATTGTGCAGCCATTCATGGATCGATAGAAGTTAGACACTTACACCGTTGGATCCCAGTAGTCTGGAGGTTAAGCATTCGCGTGTGAGACTGAAAGTCCTGAGTGGAAATCCAACATGTTAGATCGTGGATGCACACTTCTAACAAGTCTAACACTAAGATGAAATGACCGCCTAGTTCTTCTAAGTTTTCAATGACGGTCTAACATCACCACAACCCCATACTTATGAAATAAGCTGATCAAGACAGTTTGTTTGTCTCCTTGTTTCTATGATAAGGTAATAATCAAAATGTTCCTATCATGATACAATAATTTTGTAAATGTATATAAAGTGTTAATCTTAGAAAAAAAAACAAAATTCATTTTTTTCGCCAATTAGTAACCAAAATGACTTACTTGTAAAAATTATGATTTACTAACATGGTATCTATGTGTATGTATGTGTATCTGCATGTGTGTGTGTGTGAGTGTGTTAATTTTGAGCTACAAATGGTAAATATATAATAATGTACTACACTATACTATACTCTTTGAAGTATGTTTCATTAAGTAGTCTACAGAAGTGTTTTCTTTGTAATGAGGTTTTTTAGTTGTGGTTGTGGTTGTTGTTGTTGTTGTTGACGGATAAATACCATGGTAAATCATTTTTGTATGTTGATATGTGTTTGTGTGATTTTAATAATGAGATAGTGTGTAATTAATAAAACTTAATCACTAATAAATTAAGTGTGTGTTACTTATATCGATATAAGTAGTATATAACATCAATCGGAAGTGGAATGATTAGTAGTAGAAGGTTGAGAAGATCTAATCGAAGAGAAAGTGGGGGAACAGAGAGTAATTGTTATGGTAATGAAGAAATAATGAAGTTGTAGACAATTGATAAAGGATTTGTAAATGAAGTATTAAATGGATGGTAAGCATAGATGGATAGTGGCTAGCAGTGGAATTCAGGATGCGCGTTTCGTCCTATTTAGGACTCGTCATCTAAATGTACCTGAATCTTAGAGTTGATGTTTACTCTGGGACTTGAACCCAGTACCTTTCGCTTCAAACGCCATCGCGTTATCCAGGTGTTGGGTTCGAGTCCCAGAGTGAACATCAACTCTGAAATGTAAGCACATCCAGCTGACGAGTCCAAAATAGGACGAAAAGCGCGTTCTGGATTCCACTGCTAACAACCATCTATTTTTGCTTACCATGCTTGTGAATGAGAAGACCCAAACAAACAATACTATGTAACTATTAAGTGGATGGGTTTTACATTTTATCAAAGAACTTTGGAATTTTGTATTATTGATCCTCCCTAACTGTGTTCTCATTCACAACATGGTAAAGTGATATTTCTTTTATACTATAATCAAGTGATAAAGAAGAAGATAGTTATGATATCACGGATTAATGTTCAGCTAAACAACGATCAAAACCGATATATATCTATCACCGATAGAGATAAACTATGTCGGAGCATTAAGATAGGTATCAATGTTTGTCAAGTAATGTTGTGAATTACATTAAATTTTAATAGTTGAGATCATGAGTCAGTTGAAACTAGATAACTATGGAAAACTTGGAAGCAATGGACAACCGTTTCGTACTATTGTAAAACTCCTCATCAGTGAGCATCCACAACCTCGCCTCGCGAGATTCGAACCCAGGATCTACCAGTTTCGCCCGCGAGTGCTTTAAACATATTTGATGAATATGTTATTCAGTTAACTTTGTTCTTTTTCTTCTTCTTTCTTCCTTCCTTTTTATCATGTATAGGTAAACATTATGGTGCATATTCATGTGATGGATGCAAAGGATTTTTTCGACGTTCTGTTCGTCGTAAACATTCATATACATGTAGACATAAAAAAAATTGTATAGTTACAAAAGATAAACGTAATCAATGTCGATTTTGTCGGTTTCGTAAATGTTTTCGTGTTGGTATGAAAGAATCTGGTAAGAAATCAAGTTGTATCTTATTTTTGTTCTTATAATTCTATTGAAGTTATGAATGAATTACATGTAAACAGTTAGTTAGCTATATAATATACCCTTGTGAGCCATAGTAATTTTGCATTGGTTTTCAGGAGAACCAGACACCATCCAGACTTTCACGTTGCAACCCAAACAGTATAGCTCAATCCCGTTTAAAAGATGAACCAGACACCACCCTCTGGCTTAACCCGACCAGTACAGCTCAATCCCGCCCCACAAGAAAACCAGACACTATATGGGCTTCAACGCTACAATCTGAATAGTATAGCTCAATCCTGTGACGCAACCACACAGGTACTAAGCACCCTGGTGGATCATTTTCACCACTAATATACACATTCACATCACATGTATAATTATTTCCATCAGTGATCGCGTGAATCAATTATGCACAGCATGAAAAAGCCAAAGTTCACCCATTTCGTTTACACGACAGTCAAACTCATTAATGTTAGCAATGGCGATATTCCTTACAATGCTCCAATGACAATAGCCCTTGAGAACACTGAAAACCAATCACCAGTATGAATGAAATCGGATAACCAGCAAATCAACTTTTCATATGGACAGTCAGTAAAACGTGCTAAAGCAATGCCGAACCATCCACAATGTCAATGTCGAACCTCTAGTCTCACATAAGACCTTCAGCTATACATGAAACCCGAAAGATGGTGAACTATGCTTGTAAAGGTTGAAGCCAGAGGAAACTGGTGGAGAACCGTAGCAATTCTGACGTACAAAATAAAACAATGGCTTATAAAAGGATAATGAATTTTACTTCATTTGTAAGAGTTTCATGTTCAAGGTATATTAGATGTAAAGCAATGAGTTTTGGGTCTCAATGTGAATATATGAACTGAAGCCCAGTTGTATTCAGCTTATAAGCCTCAAGCAAGAAATAACCCACTGTTATATCTTGAACTTAGATTCTTAGTATGTCGTGTAATACTTGAACACTTGAGCGCTAGAACCTCCCCAAGTCGCAGATCAGAAGACAGAAGACAAGTAGAAGGGATATTATTTCGAACAGTGTCAAATATAGTACGAAAATCTTATGTATTTATAGTTTTTGGCTGAAAGTAAATCATCATTTCGGACAGCCAATAGGCACATAGGGGGCCTTCTTATTCATCCAATAGGGGAGCTACATGTTGACATTCTAGAACGTTCCCTTAGTGGTGATTGGATGGAATGGCTTTGGCTCTTTCTGGGCTTCTTGAGGCTTCCTTGAGTTTGCCAATGAGCCATCCTTACACCCACATTCTAGATTTCATTGTTAGTCACTATTAAACTTTGCTCAAAAATTTCCTTTAACTTGGTCAAAATGTCAAACGAATTCACCCAGAATACACATATATGAAAATAAACTGATGAAAATAAAAGATGATGAACCTTAACATTAAAATCGAAAAAGATTCAAACCTTTATGTTAAAGGTGGTTAACTCTTATTCTTGAAATGGTGTCCTTAGAGATGTTACCATTAATTCGCATCAAAAGAGTCTATCTAAGTACTCAATGTCAGTTCTATATAATTTACATGAGAGCAAGTAATACTAGATAGTTATCCAAACCAAAGTAAGTATAGTAGGATTCGAACCTGGAATCTATTCATCGAAACCCGAGTGTTTTTGTGATTAGACAAAATGGACTGGTTCAATGAAATACTTCAATCTCTTAGACACTCCATAATGAGCGTTACTTTCAATACTGTTTAGTAGTATATGTTATTATCTTCTTTTAAATATCAAATCAATATTACTGTACTCACTTCTTTGATGTAATTCAGTGTAGTCTAACTTTGTAAACTATTGATATCATAATTACTCGGATTTAGTTGTTTTATTTCCTCCAATTAACAACCAAATGTAATAAATAACCATGAAATATCGGCGAGACTATAATTTATAGACTGGCCAATCAGATTCGTTTGAGGGATTTCAAGGTCACAGCGCCAATTTCAGTACCTGATGCTCATGTACGATCAGTTCACAGAGAATTTTAGAGAAGACTTTACAATAAAGCGGCTACAACAAATGAAACTACTATATTTGTAATTACGAGTAATTAATGACTTGTAGACCTTGTGCAGACTACCGTGATGTTGTCCTTAGATGTAATATATATTGAAGGAAGATGTTTGCTAGAATAGGAACCTTTATTGCTCGATCCAGATTGAGACTAAGGCAAACTATAATAATTGCCGCCAACCGTATAATAAAAGCACCAGTATTACTGGCTGCTATAATCGCAGATGTTACTAAAGTTTCGGCTGTTCAGTGGTATGAGTATTGGAAGGACATATCCATCATAAAAATGACAAACTTACAAAACCGGAGTACACGCAAACAATATTGAAGCTATGTTGTCGAGTCTGAGAGAAGATTTGCGATCATATTACGGCTCCAGAGACCAATTATTATGGAATCATATGGATGAGTTCCTCTACCTTATGCATTACGATTTTGGGAACTTTGAACCTTTTTCTAACCTTGATAAGTTTTTGGACCATATAAAAGAAGTATATCCACTTTAATTATTCGGTTTTGTATAACATATTTTTACTCTATACTGACTGTTTACTGATTGGCTAACATTTCTTAAAGGTCGTCCATAAATTATAGTCTCGCCGAAATATTTGATGTTGCTACGTTTGTACTAAAATACGTTTAGACACCGACTTCCGAATATCTCCTTCGTCCTCAGAAATCTTCAAATCTTGGATCCTGAATAAATAATAAAATAAGGGGGGGTGAATATGACAGTTGCTTTAATTTTGTGTTAGTTCATATGCAAAGAACATAAGTATTTAAAACAGTATAAACCATCTTGGAACCTTGGAAACTTCTAGAAAACACTCTAAGATCATAAACATAGTCAGTCATTAATCAAGTGTATAATGAAGGCCTAATATATCGTTCTCTGGAATTCCTTCGAAAGTTTCTAATGAATACCATTTGATAAAATCATTTTCAACATTCTTTGTTGTTTAGAAAACATTTTTGAGTAAATATGGAGCACTGTCAACTCCGCCTGTAGCTCCTCTGGGGGTTACTGCCGGTCCCAAGCCCGGGTAAAGGAGGAGGGTTGGGTATGGGGTTAGCGACCCCATCCCGTAGAAAATCAACTCGCTAAAAAAACGCTAACCAGAAAAAATCATTCAAACCATTCAAACTCTGCCCTGGGAGTAGAAGGAATAATTATGACGTCTCATGATGAAAGCCGAGTTCCTTCGGAAGTCATGAGGCCGATGCACCTTCTTACAACCAGAGCGACAATTTTTATAGGTACATGGAATGTCCGGACAATGTGGGAGACCGGCAGAGCCTTCCAAATTGCTGCGGAAATGAGGAAATACAACCTGGAAGTGCTTGGAATCAGCGAAACACATTGGACGCAGGTTGGACAACAACGACTGTCTTCAGGGGAACTTCTGTTATACTCCGGTCATGAAGAAGAAAATGCCCCACATACACAAGGAGTGGCACTGATGCTGTCTAGAAAAGCACAAAATGCACTTATAGGATGGGAATCTCATGGACCGAGGATCATCAAAGCCTCCTTCAGAACAAAGAGAGAGGGCATTACAAAGAACGTCATCCAATGCTATGCGCCTACCAACGACTACGATGAAGACGCTAAAAACCAATTCTACGATAGGCTGCAGTCAATCTTCGAGAAGTGCCCAACCAAGGACCTGACCACTCTAATGGGAGATCTCAATGCTAAGGTTGGAAAAGACAACACTGGATACGAAGACGTCATGGGACAACATGGACTGGGAGGAAGGAACGAAAATGGTGAGAGATTTGCAAACCTATGTGCCTTCAATAAACTGGTCATAGGTGGCACCATATTCTCACACAAAAACATACACAAAGCCACTTGTATTTCACCGGATCACACTACACAGAATCAAATCGACCATATCTGCATCAACAAAAAGTTCAGGAGGACGATGGAGGATGTGAGAACCAGAAGAGGAGCTGATATAGCATCCGATCATCATTTGCTGGTCGCCAATATGAAACTAAAACTCAAGAAGCAGTGGACAACGGCGCGGACAACATCACAAAAGTTTAACACGGCCTTTCTTCGAGATGCTGACAAACTCAACGAATTTAACATAACCCTCAGCAACAGGTTCGAGGCCTTTCATGACCTACTCAATGGAGAGAGGACTACCATGGAGAGCAGCTGGAAAGGTATCAAGGAGGCAATCGTTTCAACGTGTCAAGAGGTTCTGGGCCAAAAGAAGCACCATCACAAGGAATGGATCACTGTTGGTACACTGGATAAAATTGAAGCAAGGAGGAACAAGAAGGTAGCAATCAATATCAGCCGAACCAGAGCGGAAAAAGCCAAGGCACAAGCCGAATACACAGAGGCAAACAAGCAAGTGAAGAGGAGCATCAGAACCGACAAACGTAAATATGTGGAAGATTTAGCGATGACAGCGGAAAAGGCTGCAAGAGAGGGAAACATGAGACAACTGTATGATACAACAAAGAAACTTGCTGAAAATTACCGTCAACCAGAAAGACCAGTGAAAAACAAGGAAGGCAAAGTAATCACCGACACTGAAGAACAACGAAACAGGTGGGTAGAACACTTCAAAGAACTCTTGAATCGATCAGCTCCACTGAACCCACCCAACATCGAAGCAGCACCCACGGACCTCCCAATCGATATTGGCCCACCAACAATTGAAGAGATCAGCATGGCCATTAGACAAGTCAATTGTGGCAAAGCAGCGGGACCAGACAACATCCCGGCAGAGGCATTGAAAGCAAATGTAACAGCAACTGCCAAGATACTCCACATCCTCTTCAGTAAGATTTGGGACGAAGAACAAGTACCAACAGACTGGAAAAAAAGGACTTCTCATCAAGATACCAAAGAAAGGCGATCTCAGCAAGTGCGACAACTACAAAGGCATCACTCTTCTCTCAATACCAGGAAAAGTCTTCAACAGAGTATTGTTAAACAGGATGAAGGATTCCGTGGACGCCCAACTTCGAGATCAACAAGCTGGATTTCGTAAGGATAGATCGTGCACAGATCAAATCGCAACTCTGCGGATCATTGTGGAACAATCAATCGAATGGAATTCATCACTTTACATCAACTTCATCGACTACGAGAAGGCATTTGATAGCGTGGACAGGACGACACTATGGAAGCTTCTTCGACACTACGGCGTGCCTGAGAAGATAGTCAACATCATACGGAACTCCTATGATGGACTAAACTGCCAAACCGTCCACGGAGGACAGCTCACCGACTCGTTTCAAGTAAAGACCGGTGTTAGGCAAGGTTGCTCACTCAACACCCTTTCTCTTTCTCCTGGTGATCGACTGGATCATGAAGACGTCAACATCTGGAGGAAATCACGGGATACATTGGACAGGCAGGATGCAGCTTGATGATTTGGACTTCGCGGATGATCTGGCTCTTCTATCACAAATGCAACAACAAATGCAGGAGAAAACGACCAGTGTAGCAGCAGCCTCAGCAGCAGTAGGTCTCAATATAAACAAAGAGAAAAGCAAGACTCTCCGATACAATACAATATGCACCAATCCAATTACACTTGACGGAGAAGCTTTGGAGGATGTGGAAACCTTTACATATCTGGGCAGCATCATTGATGAACACGGTGGATCAGATGCAGATGTGAGGGCGCGGATCGGCAAAGCAAGAGCAGCATACCTACAACTGAGAAACATCTGGAGCTCAAAACAATTGTCAACCAACACCAAGGTTAGAATTTTCAATACAAATGTCAAGACAGTTCTACTGTATGGGGCAGAGACGTGGAGAAATACGAAGGCCATTATCCAGAAGATACAAGTGTTTATTAACAGCTGTCTACGCAAAATACTTCGGATCCGATGGCCAGACACTATCAGCAACAAGTTACTGTGGGAGAGAACAAACCAGATTCCAGCGGAGGAAGAAATCAGGAAGAAGCGCAGGAAGTGGATAGGGCACACTTTGAGGAAATCACCCAATTGTGTCACAAGACAAGCCCTCACATGGAATCCTGAAGGTCAACGGAGAAGAGGAAGACCAAAGAACACATTACGCCGAGAAATAGAGACAGACATGAGAAGAATGAACAAGAACTGGAAAGAACTAGAAAAGAAGGCCCAGGACAGAGTGGGTTGGAGAAAGCTGGTCGGCGGCCTATGCTCCATTGGGAGTAACAGGCGTAAGTAAGTAAGTAAGTAATGGAGCACTGTCAACAAACATAATTATCGGAGGGGGGTTTTGTAGATATTATAGTAATTTTAATAGTTGAGATCATGAGTCAATTGAAGCTAGACGACTGTGGAAAACCTGAAAGCACAGAAACGACCGTTTCATCCTATTGTGAGACTTCTCAACAGTGCGCATCTACTATCTCACTCCGTGTCATTCGAATCCAAGACCTATCAGTTTCCAGGTTTTCCATGTTCGTCTAGCTACAATTGACTCATGACCCCAACTATTAAAATTACTATAATATGCACGAAAACCCCCTCTGATATTAATCAATATATGTTAACTAGTGATTGGCTTCAAGAGGTATCTCCTGGAGTTTTAGTGAGAAGCAGTGACCAGTGGAGTTCAATCAGGTCTGTTGTAAGATATCAACTCAGTGAAGACATTGGTGAAATGGTTGTTCAACTTCGTGGATAGGTTTATGTTAGACATTAACACCATTAGATGCCAGCCAACTCAGTGGTCTAGATGTTAAGCGCTCGACCCGCGAGACTGATAGGTTCTTGGTTTAAATCTCGCGAGGCGGTATCGTGGGTGCGCACTGCTGAGGAGCCCCATAGTAGGACGAAACGGTCGTCCAGTGCTTGCGGATTTCCTATGGTGTTCTGGCTTCAATGGACTCATAATTTCAACTATTAAAATATAATTATCTTGATGTTTTAAATCATGAACTGATCTTGACTAGAAGACCATTTAGAATATGGAAACAATGGACGGTTGTTTGAAGTTTATCACGTACGTTTTCTTTGTGACCTAAAATTTTGACTATTAGAATCGATCGATAAGATTATAATCGATTGGTGAACTTAATAATATGACGGGAACATATGATAGCTACTCACCGAATCTCCAATTAATTAAGTCTTAACTATCAAGCCTAATCTATGAGAATCGTCTCAGTTGGATACCAGCCCAGTAGTCTGGCGGTCAGTAATTTGAGTGTGAGATAAAGAGTCCTGGGTTAGATTCACAGATTCGAAGTCGTAGATACGTGCTACAGAGAAGTCACATAATGGGATGAAACATCCGTCAATAGCTTTTAGATTACCAGTGGTTATCTAGATAAGATCAGCACGTTATTTAGAAAGCATTTAACAATTATTATAACATACAGAAAACTGATCAAATCAACCAGCCCTGAAAATGGATAGCGTTCGACCGTTGGACCTATACCGGACCGTTGCCGTAAGTTAGAACTATGCTGTGTGAGGGCAGCTGCCCTTGGTCTAGGCATAGAGTGACGGCAACAAGTAGGAGGGTTGCTGTGGCTAGCGGAAAACTTCAGGCGTGAGTCTAAATGAAGCAATCACAGGCGCAGATCTTGATGGTAATAGCAAATATTCAATTGAGAACCATGAAGGCCGAGGTGGAGAAGGATTCCATGAAATTAGTAGTTGATCATGGATCAAACGGTCCGAAGTGATCCAGTAAATCAGAATAGAATAGTTTAATTAATTGATTTATTTTTCATTGATTATCCATAGATTTTTTTTCTCTTTTTTTTATATTTTAATTTTACCTTTAAGCTGTACAAAAAGAACGTGATAAAATAAGTAATCGTCATGGAAATTATGATCCTAATTCATCGATTCATTCAACGATAGATTTACAAAAATTATTACAAGCTGAAACAATAGCTAATTGTGTACGTCCTATGAGTAGTGTTTATGTTATTTTCAATATTCAATAGATGAAATGGGTCTTTGTTTGTTTTTTTTAAAGTTCTTTTGTTACTATGTATCATTTTTATGATGGTAACCAATATAAGGTTATGAAGATTGTTAGGTTATATAGAGATTACGAAACTAATTCAAGTTAGATGACTAATAAAATACTTGGACAGTCATTTCGTCCTAATCTGAAACTCCTAAACAGCAGGCATCAGAAAATTCTATTGAGAAGCCATGACTAGTTAATTTTAGTTGTGTTGGTTGTGAAAAAAGTTACTCATAGTAGAAAATAAGAATGTCCAAACAATGTTATAGACTATAGGCAAACATGGGTAGTGTCTAGTAGTGGAATCCAGGATGAGCGTTTAGTCCTATTTGGCACTTGTCAGCTGGATGTACCTGCATCTCAGAGTTGATGTTCATTCTGGGACTCGAACCAAGTACCCTTCACTTCAAACGCCATTGCGTTATCCACTCACCTACTGATTCCTGATAGCTAGTTGCTTGTGTAAAGGGGTGAAGTTTGAATTCACTTAGTATTGTTTGTTTGAATCTTCACATTGATGCTTAGGACTGCAAATGGCCAGTCTCTTATTGACATATGTGCATACTGTGCATATTGGCTCGATATTGCCTTAATTCACAAGCATTCTAAGCAAAGATGGATAGTGGCTAAAAGTGGAATCCAGAACGAGCGTTTCGTGGATAACACGATGGCGTATGAAGCGAAAGGCACTGGGTTCAAGTCCCAGAGTAAACATCAACTCTGAGATGTAGGTACATCCACCTGACGAGTCCAAAATAGGACGAAACGCGCGTCCTGGATTCCACTGTTAGCCACTGTCCATCTTTGGTTATAATGACTCTAATTAATGTTGACCAATTTGGTTTATGATCAATTTTTTACACGAATAATCATCTATACGTTATGATCATAGAAATTACTATGTGATATTTCTATACATACTAATGAGATTTACATGTTACTTATAATTTTACATCTTAATTGAATTATCATTGAATCATAACTTCTTATTAAAGATACTGAACTCAAGTTCAGTTGTTAACGTCACTATTTAGACGTAAGTACATTCAGTTAAAGAGTCTTAAATGAGACGAAACATATGTCCTTGATGAAACTGATTTCTGGTTGGCGTTTTTTTAGCGCGTTAGTTTTTCTACGGGATGGGGTCGCTAACCCCATGCCCAATCCTCCTCTTTTACCCGGACTTGGGACCAGCAGTAGACCCCGGAGGAGCTACAGGCAGAGTTGATGAAACTGATAGCTATTGAATAATATAATTTGAAAATTCAAAATGAATTACTTTATTCAGTTACCAGAAAAAAGGTTTTGCAGAAATTGTAGTAACTTTTAATAGTTGAATTCATGAGTCAAATTCAATTAGACCATCATAGAAAACCTGAAAGCACTGAACGGTCATTTCATACTCAGCAATATTCATTCTTGAAACAAACCGAGGACTTTCGGTCTCATACTCAAATGCTGAACCTCCAGACTACTGAATCGATATCCATCAGCGTTAATGGGACTTCTCCTCCTTCTTGTAGATTTGCACTTATGAAGAGTCTCATACTAGGACAAAACAGCTGTCCAATGCTTCCAAGTTTTCCATGATGATCTAGTTTTAATTATTAACTTGATAATCTTTCCCCAATGATCTATTCTTCTTATCCTGATTATAGGCAATACATCAAAACTATATGAATATAACAAAAAAATCTACTGATTTATTTGATGAACAATCCATCTATAAAGAATTCAATGAAAATAATTTAGCCAGTATTAATGATATTTGTGAATCAATACGTACTCAATTAATATTTTTAATTGAATGGGCTAAAAATCTCACTGTATTCACATCATTAACAATTAATGATCAGGTAAAAATTTTAATAATCAGTAGGGTGGTTTTTTGTGTGTGTGAAGATTTCAGTATTTTCATAGTTGAAAGCATAAGTCAGTTGAAGCTACACCACCAAGGAAAACCTGGGAGCACTCGACGGTAGCAGTGAGCATTCACGACCTCGCCCCGCAGTATCCGAACCAAGGACCTACCGATCTCTCGCTAAAGCACTCAACCTATAGACCACTGAGTCGGCACACGATGGTGGATGCGAACATCTGAGGAGTCGTACAGTGCTTCCAGGTTTTCCTTTGTAGTCTAGCTTCAACTTAATCATGCTTTCAACTATGAAGAATTTTATAGATGAAATATAAAACAAATTGTTATATGTAGTTGAATTCTTGAGTTGATTAAAGTTAGATCATCATGGAAAACCTGGAAGTAGTGGATGGTCTTTTCATCCTAGTATAAGAGTCGTGAGCAGTGAGAATCCACGATCCTGTTCGTGGAATTCGAAACCAGGACCAGATTCTTCATGGTAGTCTAGGTTTAATCAACTCATGTATTTAAGTATTAAATTACTACAATTTCCATAAAACCTTTTTTGATGACAATAATAATAATTAACATGTCAACACTAGTGACGGGCTTCAAAAGGTATTTCCAGGAATTCTAGTGAGAAGCATTGACCAGTATAGTTCAATCAGGTCTGTTATGAGATAGTAACCCACTGTAGACAATGGTGGACGATGGCTCAATTTCATGGATTAGTTGAAGTTAGACATTATCACCGTTGTATGATGGTGTAGTGGTTGTTGTTCACTCCTAGATTCAAACCCAATAATGTTCCCTTCAAACACTATTAGGTTATCCACCTGGCTACTGAGTCCTCATCCATCTCTATGACTTAAGGCAACATCGAGGCAATCCGGACAGGATGTACATGTACCAATAAGAGACTGATCCATTACAGTCAAACAAACAATACTAAATGAATTTAAACTTCATCCGATTACACAAGCAATTGACTATCAGAACTCAGTAGTTGAGTGAGTAATGTAATAGCGTTTAATGTAAACAGTACTGGGTTCGAGTCCCAAAATGAACATTAACTCTGAGATACAATTAAATCCAGCTGACAAGTCTTAAATAAGATGAAACGCTCATCCTGTATTCTACTACTTGTTACATAAGATTAATCAATATTCAATAATTAATCAATAAATGATTTTTTTTTTAATAATTTTTTTTTGTTTATAAAATAGATTGCATTATTACAAGCCCATGCTGGTGAAATACTTATACTAGGTGCTATATGGAGATCAATTACATTAGGACCAACAATAAATAAATCAACTAAATATCATATAAATAAATTAAAACATTTTGAACAAAAAATAAATCAAAATGGTAATAATAATATACCTACTACTATCATCAATGATATGACTACTACTACTACTCATGCTTCAAATGTTGTTGCTATGGTTACTACAACATCATTATCTCATTCATGGAATTCTACTGTTACCACGACTACTACTACTACTACTACTACTACTACTAATGGTGGTGATGGTGGTGGTGGAGAACAATCAACCTCAAAGAATTCAATCATTGATGATCTATTAGATACTAATTCTATACAATCAATTAATTATGAACCACAATTTATATTATTAGGTAATAATCGTATTATATCAAGAGACAATCCATTACCAGAAATAGCTGATTTAGCTAATATGATTATAAATGAAATATATCAACCAATACAAAATTTATGTTTAGATGAAATTGAAATTGTTTGCTTTCGTGCAATTATGTTCTTTGATCCAAGTAGGTATTGATTATAGATATATATATATGTATATATGATCTTTGGCTATTGCTAACTTACATCACCTATGATGTAGATAAGATAGCCGTCTATTGATTAAGGGACAAGTATACTGTGCTGTAGTTCGCTTTGTTCTACTTTACAGTTGTGAAACATGGACATTAAGAGTAGAAGATACTTGTAAGTTATTAGTATTTGACCATAGATGTTTTAGAAATATTGCTTGCATCTTCTAAGATCACCAGGTAAGTAATAGTGAGATTAGATGCAGGTTATTAGGGAATAATGGTAAATCAGTTGATGAGATAATGAATCTTCATCAACTGAGATGGTTGTAACACGTGTTACGTATGCCTAAACACTGATTAGCTCGACACGATATGCTGACTAGTATCAGTAATGGTTGACGGAAAGTTAGGGGCAGCCAAACCAAAATGTGTTATCAGTGCTTGAAGTCAGTAACTTCTAGTGCAAGCCATGTTGGTAGATGTACACTACTTGGTTGGAGTCTGCGCAACTATCGTAACCAATGGTTGGAGACTATGTGTGACATGGCTCAGAATCGATCACAATGGTGTAGGTGTATACACTCTTTATCTTCCCTTAAACGGTGAGATTAAAATTGCTTCATATCTGTCTTTCTTCCTGTACTATATCCTTATATACAATCGCGAGATTCGAACCCAGGACCTACTAGTCTCGCGCTAGAGCAGTTAACCACTAGACCATTGAGCTGGCTGGCATCTAATGGTGTTAATGTCTAACTTCAACTAATCCACTAAGTTGAACAACCAATTAACCAATGTCTTCAGTGAGTTGATATCTCCCAACAGACCTGGTTGAACTCCACTGGTTAATGCTTCTCACTATTACTCTAGGAAATATCTCATGGTGCCAGTCACTAGTGAGCACATGATGTATCATTAACCTATAGACCACTAAGAAAGGATCTAAAGGTATCAGTGTTTAAATTTAATTCATTAACGATGTTGCGCGATTCTTAAATATTACCCGAAGTAGATAACTATCTCAAATCCAATATGGTTGGACTTCATCTCTAAGAAGTTTCATAGTAGGATGAAACAACCATACAGGTTTTCTAGGTCTTCAGTAGTGATCAAGCTAAGATTAGTTCGTGATTATGATGGACGGTTCGGTTTTGTTGTAAATCGATTGGAATTTTTAAAAAAATAATAATCGTATCGAACATTTAAAATTTCCACAGTCAATCTGAAAATGTTTGTAAGACAAGTAGGCTAATGTTGATCTTAGTCAATATGAAGGTAACTATTGAGGATGTTAGATCCGCCAGAACTCACTTCGTAAATGATTTATTTTTGTAATTTTATTTTGAAAATTTGAATTTCTTTCTTTTTGCGCCTGAAATGCTCTTTTCACCTTCATGTCGGATTTCCCATTTGGGAAAATCTTAAACATTATTGGTCAATTGTATCTTTTGGTATGCTGTTTTATAACGCTTCCTAAAGACAATTTTATGCTGTATATATACGTTTGATTTCTTCCCTATTGTGATTGCTTGTACTTCTGGCTGCTTACGGAATATATCTTCCCCACTTCCAACTTCAACTTCTCACTTTAGTTAGCGAGGCCGAAGGACAACAGATTAGAATAGCCTATCGTGTCACCATGTCTGATCTTCGTTTCATTTACCGAGTAAGGTGAACTTGTATTAGCATCAAGTATATCAATCATTTAGTTAATTCACAACCACAACCTGGTTATAGTCTCTTTGGAAATTTTTTTTATTTTAGCAAGAAATACTACTATTTAATTCAATTCAATGGTTGGACGAGGTTGGACTAGGTTGACTAATATTTTAGCTAAAATCTGGGAGTTGGACGTAATCCCATCCGACTAGTCACAATCATTTATTGTCCCAATATATAAGAAGGGGCCAAAATCATCCTGCGATAACCATAGAGGGATTAGTCTGACTAACATAGCATCTAAAATACTAGCCTCAATAATTATCGGGCGCCTAACTAAGACTCGTGAACTGCAAACACGAGAAAATCAGGCTGGCTTCAGACCTGATTGTGGCTGCATCGACCACATATCCAATATTCGTCAGGTTTTAGAGCACAGATTTGTTTATCGGCGTCCGACAATGATAGTTTTTCTTGACTTCAAAGCAACATTTGACTCTGTAGACCGAGAGGTTCTGTGGCAGTGTCTGTCATTGCAAGGTGTATCTCAGAAGTAAATAAACCTTGTAAAGGCTCTTTACTCGAACACTACCAGTCGAGCGAGAGCTTATGGCGAACTGTCATCTGATTTTACAACCTCAAATGGTGTTCGACAAGGTTGTCAACTATCCCCATTTTTGTTTAACTTCATTATAGGAGAGAAGTTACTATCTCGGTGGATGAATAAGAACTCATAGTTAACTCCAGTATACTCGTTCTAGTTTATGCGTCGTTGGTGTGATACACAAGTCAATGTCCTAATTGGCGATATTTCACGATATATATTTACAGGTCATAAGGACATAACACTATCCACTGTTTATACTACCCTTACGCACTAGTGAACCAGAACACTAGTGGCGTCAACTAAAGTATCTTAGTAGAACATTACAGAATATCTTGGTAAAATATGAGAACCATACAGTAAAGAAATGTCAATCAATTGTTTCATAATTGATTGTTTCTTCGTTTTCACACCAATCATTCTCTGTTCACGTTCTCTTCTCTTAGATCTTCTTAACCTTCTGTCTTTAGTCATTCCACTTTCGATTGGTAATACATACTGCTTATATCTGTCGACATCAGTAGCGCACCAATATACTAATACTATTACTACTGATGCCTATATCAATATGAATATGAATAGTTAATGTGTGTAAAATAAGACAGTTACTTTACTTACTTACTTACTTGCTTACTTGAGCCTGTTATCCCAATGGAGCATAAGCTGCCGACCAGCATTCTCCAACCCACTCCATCCTGGGCCTTCCTTTCTAGTTCTATCCGATTTTTGTTCATTCTTCTCATATCTATCTCCATTTCTCGATGTAATGTGTTCTTTGATCTTTTTCTTCTCCTTTGGCCTTGAGAATTCCATATGAGGACTTGTCTTGTGATGCAGTTGGATGATTTCCTCAATATGTGTCCTATCCACTTCCAAAAATAAGACAGTAGACAGGAGAAATGTATATTCACTATGTGTTCTACCATCTGAACTGACTTCTCATCTGATCTCCAGATATTCTGCCAACTTCTACTTTCGATTGGTAACACATACTACTTATATCTGTTGACATCAGTAGCACACCAATATATTAATACTATTAATACTGATGCTTATACCAATATGAATATCAATATTCAACGTGTGTGAAATATGACAATAGGCAGGGGAAATGGTTACTTACTATATGAAGTTACAAAGTATTTACACCATATATATATATATATATACCCTTCAGTTGTTCATTATCATTTTTCGATGTGTTCTACCATATGAATTGCCTTCTCATCTGGTCTATAAATGATCTGCCAACTTCATGCTTTTAATGCACTTGATCGATAGCATCCGATCAACACTAAGAAGGACCTAACAGGTATGACATTGATCACCACCCAGTGATCAATCAATTGTGATTACATCTTAGTCCTAAAGGAGGTCAGTCGCGGCCCAAATAGCTCAGTGGTAACGTCTATAACTGTAAAGCTGGGCGACACGAGATCAAATCCGTCAGGGATCACCAGTTCCCTCAAGATTACAGGTACACCTTGCTGATGAGTGCCAAGTAGCACGAGACTGGGGTCCAAGATTTCCTGTTGACCACCTTCAACCACCATTTTAACTGAAACTCTTTACTCCATTTATGAATTATAACAACTTTGATGTCACATTCCATCACATACTACTTATAAACAATCTTATAAGTAGTATCCATTATACTTATCTTCTTGTTTTTTTTTTCTTTTTTAAAAGATTGTGAATCCTTATCAGAGAATGGACGTTTATTAATACGTAGTTGTCAATATTTAATACAAATGGAATTAATGAATATAATGAATAATAAATTATATTTACCACAAGGACGTTTTGGTGCATTATTATTATTAATACCAGAATTTCATTCAATTACATTACATATGATTAATAAATTACAAATTATACATCAAATGGGTTTTACTAAATTAGATGGTTTATTATTAGAGATATTATTAAATAGTAAGTATAATTACATAAATAATTCTATTGTTTACTTTTATCTTTTCACGGTATTGAGTTCGAGTCCCAAAGTGAATATCAACACTGAGATGGGGAGGACATCCAGCTGATGAGTCCTAAATAGGACTCATCATTAGTCAATCGAAGCTAGACCATTATGGAAAACCTAAAAACACTGGACGAACGCTTTGTCCTATTATGGGACTCCTCAGCGGGGTTCATCCACGATCCCACCTAGCGAGATTCGAATCCAGTATCTACCAGTCTCGCGCACAAGCACTTAACCGATAGAACACTGAACCAGCATTCAACGGTGTTAATGTCTAACTTCAACCAATTCACGATGTTTGAGCAACCGTTCATCAATTGTCTTCGGTGAGTTGATATCTCTACAACATACTTGGTTGAACTCCACTAGTCACTGCATCCCACTAGAACTCAAGGAAATAATCATATTGTTTAAATCCACTTGGTGGTGTTTACTTGTATCTTCCCATGGTACTGGGTTCCAGTCCCAGAGTGAACATCAAATCTGAGATACAGGGACATCCAGCTGATGAGTCCTAAATAGGACGAAACGCGAAACCTGAATTCCACTACTAGCCACTATCCGACTTTGCTTACAAATATATTGCTTATTTATATATATAGTAATTTAAATATTTGGTCTATTATTGTATAATAGTTGTTTGTTTAAAAATGCTTAGATGTAATTTTAATAACTGAGATCATGAGTCAATTGAAGCTAGACAACCATGAAAAACCTGAAAGCACTGGATGGCCATGTCGTTCTAATATGAGACTCCCCAGCAGTGCGCATCCACGACCTCACTGGCGAGATTCGAACCGCGGAGTCTCAGTTTTGTGTGCAAACACTTAACCTATAGATCACTGATTCCAACTACTCCATGAAGTTGAGCGACACATCCTGTGTTCGAGTCTCGTAAGGCGGAATCGTGATGGTCTAACTTCAATTGACTCATGATTATAATATCCATATATATATATAATTGGAAATCTGAAGCAGGAATCAAGAAAATGAATAGTGATTGAAAACAACTAGAGAGGGTTGTTCAGGACAGAGTTCAACATAGAATTTTAGTGGGTGGCCTATACTCCTTCACGATGGATAACAGGCGTTACAGAGTAAATAATTAGATGGACATTCTCAAAGTCACTCACACATCCTTCAAATGTCATCCACAAATTATATTCTCACCGATCCATCTTATCTAGTATTTAGGTTTTTTGATATATATCATACTGACTTCGAAATATTTTACTTAGTGCATATCTTCGTGTATTCTACTTCGCTGATAGAACAGCAGTCTCAAGGCTATTTAGAGCACCCTTTATTTCCTACAACAGTATAGTAGTTTAACCAAACCTTGGTCTACCAGCATCTTATCATCATTTGTAGCTCAGGTGGGTGATTTTGATGTGTGTTTGTCGTCGACAAAATCATCCAGCTCAGAGAACAAATCCAAATCAAAATCTTATCATCCTATTTAGTCGTTTGCAGATTGTTTTTTTTTCCCTTTTTTTGTTTTATATAGATGCAATAAATGAATCAAATGATACTACTGAATCTACTCATTTAAAATCATCCATTAAACATTATCATTCATTAAATAAACATGTATTTCATGAAGAGAATAAATTACCAACAGTCTATTCAATGCCTAAACTACATCCAATACAAAATGATTATACTTATACTACACATATTACAGAATCCATTACATCTTTATCCTCTTCTACATCATCAACATTATCAACTACATCAACTACACATTTCAATAGTATACCGATTGTACGTGAAGTTGACTATACAACAAACGAATCTGAACATACCAACTGTGAAGAATTATCTAGTATGAACCATTATTTACCCTTAACCTCTTCCACAGTAACACAATTAAATGTATTAGATAAAATGTATATGACAACAGCAGACACAACGTCTACCACACAGCCAACGAATATCGTAGTGAATTCACCAAAGTATACAGGACAACTTGAACCAGAATCAATTTTATCAATACAATCATCTAATTTATTGAATGATTATGACAATATTGAAAATTGTAATTCAGACAAACAACCCAGTAATGATATGTTAGCTCAATATTATCATGCTGTTCAACCAATTATGAGTACAGTAAAAAAATTTAATACGAATTTGGATTTCAGTAGTAATAATAATAATCGTAATGCTACTAATAATAATGATGTCAATCAATCACTTTATGCTATGCATTGTAAGTTTTATTATTTTAATGAATCGTTTTTTATAGAGTAGAAATCATGAGCTGATTGAAGATAGACCATCATGGAATACCTGGAATCATTGGACGGCCGTTTCGTTCTATTATGGGATTCCTCAGTAGTGCGTATCCACGATCTCACCTCATGAGATTTGAACCCAGGATTTGCCAGTCTCGCGCGGGAGCGCTTAACCTCTAAAACCACTGAATTGACCGGCATCCGATGGTGTTAACGTCTAACTTCAACCAAACCACCAAGTTGAGCAAGCATTCATCGGTTGAGTGCTCTGGAGTGAGACTGATAGGTCCTGGGTTCGAAACTAGTAAGGTAGGATCGTGGATGCGCACTGCTTAGGAGTTCCACAAGAGGAAGAAACTGCTGTCCAGTACTTGCAGGTTTTCGATGGTGGTCTAGCTTCAATTGATTCATGATTTCAACTATGAAAATACTGAAATCTCCACAAAACCCCTTCTGAATTATATTATTCAGTGTTTCAATGTTTATATCACACTTGGATGTTATTTAAAAACGAACGATTACTTTATACTATAACTACAGTTCAGTATGTCATTCAAGTTGATTGAACTCAAAAGAACCTATTTTAAGAGTAATTTAATTATCAGTATAGAATAAGCGAGACCAAAGGTCCTGGGTTCGAGTCACACGTGCAGGATCGTGGATAAACACTGCCGAGGATTCCCAAACTAGGACGAAACAGTCGTCCAGTGATTCCAGGTTTTCAGTGATGGTCTAACATTGATTCATTCATGATTTCGATTTGAACTCAATAATTTAAATATAAAAAGTGTATATAAAGTCTACAAAATGTGATCAGTGTTAATCAAGTCTACAACAAGAACGCTGATAACATAGTAAAATTCAGGTTACCAAAACAACTGAATTCATACAGTTACTTTATCTGTACTCAGCTTGTAGATCAATTAAAGTCCTGTAACGAAATTTGTAGCGATCCACAAAATCCAATTCCAAGCTCTGTGATTCATATTCCCTTTTTTCATAAAGCTATAAAAGTAGGAAAACGGAAAATTAACTAAGAAGGCTTGAATTAACATAACAAATCAACCATAGGTAGATATATAATTTTCCTCTTGATTCAAATAGAGACCTTGAACGGGTGAATAATCGACTCCAGTCAATAGAGTATCTCATTTCTAATTGCTCACTTACTGTTTGAACTTAAGATGATAGATAAACACAGACATATGATATGTTAATAACATTCTAGGTCGTCAGAAGTTTGAATTCATGGAGTTAATTCAATCATTGGTGAAGTTAAGGTTTATATTCTCTTCAATACTGCAAAATCTAAAAGCCTATTTTGTAAAACCCTAATGAGTTGTTATGTGTGGAAAATGTTGATAAGCTTTATACTAGAAAGAAATAATCATTCAATGCTTCCTTATTTTTAATAGTATCCCAAATGAAAACAAACTACACACCCTAATAATCACAAATATTTTATTCAATATTTTTTAAACTACTTAAATTCTTTATTTAGTAGGTGAAGAAACTTTTGAAAATATTTCAAATACAAATTATTCAATCCACTCAAATATTATCAATTGTTTACCAACTTTAGAACCTGGTATATATTATACAGATAATCAGTTCTATACAACTTATTCACATCATTTAAATAATAATAAAACAAAATACAATCAGAATACTACTATTACTAGTATCAGTAGTAGTGATAATACTTCACCAATTTATACTAGTTACGATGCCAAACATTTGATACCAATTGATAATCCTAATCAATCATATTCCACAATGAATTTCTAAACATATTCAATGGTGAATGGTCTTAGATTCTTTTTCTTTTATTTGTTTTCCTCTTCTTTTTTAAAAAATAAATAAATAAACGAGAATCAGGTTATATATGTATCACTTATGTAATACATTTCATGTACAGTTTACATGTTATCCATTGTAATCAATATAACAGTGATGTGTATACAAAATTGTATTTGCTTACTCAATTATATTTTTCTTTTTTTTCTTTTTCTTTTTCTTTTTTTTATCATCAATTGTTCTTGTTTACATTATTGATTTCTTTTAATAAAACAATAAATAAACATGATTCCCATTAAAAAAGAACATTTGTATAGGTCATCAGAAGGGGGTTTTGTGGAGATTTTAGTAATTCTATATAGTTGAGATCATGAGTCAGTGGAAGCTAGATCATCATGGAAATCCTGGAAGCACTGGATGACCGTTTCGTCTTATTGTGGGACACCTCAGCAGTGCGCATCCACGATCCCGTCTCGTGATATTCGAACCCAGACCTACCAGTCTCGCACGCGAGCACTTAACTGATAGACCACTGAGCCGTCATTCAATGGTGTCGAAGTGCTCGGACGCGAGACTGGTAGGTCCTAGATTCGAATCTCACGAGGCGTGATCGTGGATGCGCACTGCTAAAGAGTCCCACAATAGGATGAAACGGCCGTTCTGTGCTTTAAGGTTTTCCATGGTGGTCTAGCTTCAATTGACTCATGCTTCTATTTGTATAGATTGTTAAATATTCATAGGTTACATCATAGATTGATATGAATTAGGTAGATTATTGAAATCATTACAGGATTGAAAATCTGTTTTAGAATAGATATGAAGATCTTAAAGAAGTTTGTATGTACGACCTTAATGGGGATAAAATTTAGGAATCTTAAGGTTTTGTGGTGAATTCATAGTTTTTAGATTGGTTAACAATTATTTGGATTTATAATTTTAAATAATTTGAGATATTGCTCTACTATGATTGGTGGTTAACTACCTTATACCCCATATTGTAGAACTCTACCGACCACAGAGTTCCCACCGAAAGTTTAGGAATTACCACTCTCTAGCGAGTAGATGACTATCATAATAACTAATGATGGTTTTTGAAGATTGTCGGGTTGCATAATTCACATCAAGCTGATGATAGTCAATTATTCAATATTTTCACATGGCTATAAGTGGGTTACAAACTTCGTAGTTTATTCTGCTTCATAATTTATGAATAACTAAGTAATTATCAGCAAAGATAGATAATGGCTAGCAGCGGAATCTAGAACGTGCGTTTTGTCCTATTTAAGACCCATCAGATGGACCTTTCTGCATCCCAGAGTGAATATCAGCCTTGGGATGCAAGTACATTCAGCTGACGTATCTAAATAAATGGTATTTCATACTTAGGTGACTGTGTAATGTTCGATAAAATAACACAATTAACTTTTTGTAGATAGATACTTGCATAAATGGAGTGAACAGTATTTCTGACAACTGAGTTGCCCTTCAGTAGTCACAACAGACAACTCCGATGCTAGACTTAATAAAAGTGAGAAAAAAAAGACAGGGATTCATATACACCCAAAGTAGAATCGTGAATACATTACAGTATAATTATGTTTATCTCGACTTATCAGTCTAAGATTGCGGAGATGACTAAATGTCACAGTAATTACTAACCGATCAACGTTAGATAACCAGTAAAAATCAAGAAGCACTAGATGGGTGTTCCTTCTTAGTATGAGACTCCTTAGAAGTGAGCATATACAACCCAGCGAGCGGGAATCGAACCCACAACCTGCCTGGTGTACGAACGCCTAATTTCTAGACAGCTGAGGTCCAAATTCACACACCTTTGCAATGCTTCCGGATTCTCAATGGTCATCTAGCAGCGATCAATTTGTAATTTTAATGAAATTCAACAATCTCCACAACCCTATACTGACAATTATCCTGTACTTATTAGTGACTAGCTTAGAAAAAAAGAATTTCTATGGTTTCGGTGAGAAGTTTAGACCACTCAAGCTAAACCGTTTCGTCTGTGTGTGTGTGCCAATTTTTGAGTTTCTGACGATTTAAGGTTTACGACAGTTTTCTAACGTTGATCAGCTAGAGATTTCGATAAAATTCAAATGTCTATACAACCCCATAATTACAGTATATGGTTAGCAATCGTGTCACTCCGGATTACTGAATTTCACCCATAGAAACCTTATAATAGAACTAGAGGAACTAAACTCGAAGCCATTCACTAATGAACAAACGTTTACGTAAATGAGCAATGATGGATAGTGGCTAGCAGTGAAATCCAGGACGCGCGTTTCGTCCTATTTAGGACTCGTCAGCTCGATGTGACTGCATCTCAGGTTTGATGTCCACTCTGGGACTCGAACCCAGTACCGTTTGCTTCAAACCCCATCATGTTATCCACTTAGCCACGTAAATATTTAGAATAAATGGACCGTAGCTAACAATGAGATCCAGGATGCGAATCCCATCCAACTTGAGACTTGTCACCCGGATGTAATTACATTCTTATGTTGATGCTCACAAATCGGAACCCAAGCCCAATATCTTACGGTTCAAATGTCATAGCTTGCTTTATGATATTCATATCATTATCAGCAACCTTTTAAATCAACCAATCGTTGACATCAATGACTAGATTTTGATCAGTATTGTTGACTTATATACGTGTTGTGATGATTTCACCGATTAAACTATTTCAAAAACCTCTTAACTATTCAAATCCAAATATACTAAACATTTGTGAAATAAGGTTTTTTTATGTACGTTCAGTAGTTGGAGGTAGGCAATTGGCAAGAAACTCTGCCCGAGTTGAGTTTCGTTCTAGTTTATATTCGTCAACAACGCATCCCAGGAATTTTGGTGAAGCTGATGGTTCTTATAAAAATCGCACCTCAATAACTTTAACTATACGGTATGAGATGTCACCACTGATCCATTCGGTCTGGGATTAGGTTCTTAAAGGATTACAATATTTTTAGTTGACTGATAATTGCTAAGTGACCAGAGTCACATTTATGAACTATTTTAGTGTGGATTGAATTCTATCGAACAAGTAACAATGTGACCAGTAATCTAAATAATTCAAAGTTGTAGGTACGCCTAGCTGACGAGTGCCAACTAACACAAAACTCAGGTCAGGCAGAATCTCTCGTTAACTACCTCCAGTCTTCTAGCGTTTCAATATAGTGGACGTGATGTAAAGTTAATTGGACGGTAACAGTATACTATGGTATTGTTCTTGACTAGGTGAATCAGAAATAGGATAATGCGTCGTGGAGTTTTGCACAAAATTAAAAGTGGAGTGTGAGTTGGCCTGTATGTTATCACGAAGATAAAATTGTCAGTATTTGGTTTCTAAAATCCTCAAAGCTGAGAAAGATGCCTACTATGCAACCAAACTGAGAATATAATACGGCGGTCAAGCTAAATTACCTGCTTCCAATGCAAGTTATATGTTAGCGCCCTTAATATGATTCAACATGTAGTCAAGAGTGTTTGTGTAATCAGATAGTACTCTACGACTTTAACTACTAGCTCTGAATCTCAACCCTAAGTTTGTAATGTCTGTAAACAAAAGGATGACAAGCCTCATCGGAGATACCCGTTCATGATGAAAACCTCAACCTTAATCCATAGTTCGTACTCATAACTCTGAAACTTAACTCTTATTATCTAACTGGAACATTTTTTTGGATCATAGTTGAAGTCGGCCAGTAACAAAAACCCTATAGGGTTACATAACCCTAACTCGTAATACTAGCTCAACTCATAATATATAAACCTAACCCTTTTCGTTGACTAAAATAAATAATTTAACATGTAAGGGTCAGTTCATCATATTGAAAACGTTATTCCGATGTAGTTTTAATGCCTATCACTTTTAATTGTTTTGCATTTAAACAATGTTTCTTGATTAGCTGATGAGTCTCATTCCCCAACCCACCCCTTTAAATTCGTCAACATCGTATACTTTCACTATTCAAACAGTAGTGATAACATCATAACTTCATTGTCAATATTCGATCACCACTGAAAATATGAAATCAATATGACATTAAATAATCAACAGTAATATTTCAATCTAATTTCAATTTGCATATTTTATTGGATGGATCATTCAATTCAATTAATAGGATCTTATTTTATATATGGGTGAAAACATGAGTCAATTGAAGCTAGACAACCATCGAAAACCTGCAAGCATTGGACGTCCATTTCGTCCTATTGTGGGACTCCTCAACAGTGCGGATCCACGATCCCACCTCACGAGATTCGAATGCAGGACCTATCAATCTCGTGTGCGAACGCTTAACCTCTTGAACCACTGAACCAGCATCCGATGGTGTAAATGTCTTAGTTCGACTAATCCACGAAGTTAAGAGATATACCCACTGCTGAGGAGTCCCACAATAGGAAAAAACGGCTGTCCAGTGCTTCCAGGTTTTCCATGGTGGTCTAGTTTCAATTGACTCATGATTTCAACTATATAAAATAATATCCTATTAATTGAATTGAATAATCCATCCAATAAGTATACAGATTGAAACGCTACTGTTGATTAGTTGATATCATATTAATTTCATATTTTAAGGGTGACCGAATATTGACAATCAAGTGATAATGTTATCACTAGTGTTTGAATAGTGAAAGTATACTGTGTAAATGAATTTAGAGCGAGAGGTGGCGGATGAGACTCATCAGCTAATCAAGAAACATTATTTAGTTATTGAAGCTAGACTACCATGGAAAACGTGGGAGCATTGGAACGCCGTTTCATCTCAGAAGTGTGCATCCACGATCCCACCTCATGAGATTCGAATGCAGGACCTATCAATCTCGCGTGTGAACGCTTAACCTCTAGACCGCTGAACCGGCATTCAATGATGTTAATGTCTAACCAATGTCAACCAATCCACGAAATTGAGCAACCATTCACCAATATCTTCAGTGAGTTCATAGTATTTGTTATAGTAATCAGACATTGTATCAGTTTCTTTGTTTGTTTGTTTAAATAGATATATATTCAGAAAATAATTCAATTAAGTAGTATATTTAATCATTTATTCTATCTTTATCTCTTTTTTTTTTAATCTAAATCATAAAGGAAATATTGAATAATTATATAATAGACAATTAATGAATGTTACATAAAGACATAGAGATAATGTAGATTTGATTAATGTCGGTAACACCAAACAAAATCATAAAAATATTCCAAAAAAAAATAACATGTCCAATTTGAAGAGAGAACAAGAGAGGATGAGTGAGTGTGTGAATGAGTGTGTGAGTGAGTGAGTGAGTGAGTGAGTGAGTGAGTGAGTGAGTGAGTGAGTGAGTGAGTGAGTGAGTGAGTGAGTGAGTGAGTGAGTGAGTGAGTGAGTGAGTGAGTGAGTGAGTGAGTGAGTGAGTGAGTGAGTGAGTGAGTGAGTGACAGAATCGATCATTCATTTATACACATTAATAAATAACTAAATAATTTAATAAACAAATGAAAAAACAAACAAACAATAAGAAAAGAAAAACTGAAGAAACAAACAAACATAGAAGAAAACAATAAAACTAATTAGGTATTTACCAAATTTCTCATATTCACTAAAAAATTTTAAAAAAAAAACAGAACCAAAATATTAGTGTCTATAGAGACAATTTATATGAATTAAATCACCTTGTCAACTATTTATTAATTGAATAAATTACAATTAAATGAAAGAAAATGTAAAAAGAAAGAAGGGGGGGAATAATTCAACAATGAATACTCACATACACACACGCGCACATACGCACATACATAGAAACAGAGAAAAAAAAGGGGGGGAAATTTAGCGTAAAAAAAATTCTTCACAAAATGAAAATATCGGATCAGTGAAATAATTTTGAAGCAAAATGAATATACTCTGGTAATATGTAACAAAATGAAAGAATGAATAACGAATATATAAGTAGGAGAAGAAGAAGAAGAAGAAGAAGAAGAAGAAGAAGAAGAAACAGTGTCATCACATTGTTTTCTCTTTTTTTGGAAGGGGGGGGGCAAAGGAAATAGATTACCATTGGAAAAATATTAAGATATATACATATATTATATTGAACAAGTTATCTATCCTTCATAGTATTGGTAGTAGTAATAATAATCATAATAAGTAATATAAGTAGTATAACACATAGCATGTAATATATAATAAGTAGTATATATATACGAAACAGGAGATTCATTCAATGAATTAAGCTCTATGAAATCTTTTCTCTTGTGTATTATCTGCTTTGAACTATTTATTTATCTGTTGTAGTTTATTACATAATCCAGTGGAAACATCAAAGTGACAAGGATTCAATAGATTGAACATTGAATATTGAATTTTTAAATTTTATACAAAATTAATTTATTTAAACAAAATAAAAAATAATATTAAGTGATTGTTTTTGAATGAATTACACATGATTATTATGATGAATAAATGAAAAGATGGGATAGTCAATCAGTTAATCAGCCACTTGAAATCTGTACGTATGGAAATCCATCCAAATTATCAGGACCGAATTCTAGAACAGTAGAGGTACTACCAGTATCAGTGATAATAAGAAACATTAAACATTAAAGATACAACTTGAAAAGAAAGCATAATCTAGTGGAATAAAAACAAACAAAAAGTTATGAGTGACTAAGAATCTCTAGAGAAGACAAAGAATAGATGCATATGAGATATTGCAAAAGATTTAGAATCATACTATTTAAAGTCTTTATATATTAGTTACGATTAGCACGTTAACCTCAAACAAGTATTCCGTACCTATTTACATGAATCAGTTCAATTGTCAATGGCTTCATCGACTGATGCCACATTTGGTTAAGGATCCCCTAGATTTATTCCAGCCTACACCTACACCAGAAAATATCGTCGGTCGAGTTGGCGTTGAATAGATATCCGTAGCACATACCTTAACCAACTCAGTTTGACATTTACTACCTCATCATTCGATTCCCCATCGTTGCCTATTACACCATTCCTGACCCAGGCTTTTCTTACTCTATAGTCTCAAAATACATGAGCAGTCGTTAGAAGATACCTATGATAGAATACCAATAACCTACGAATATCTTCTATTCTCTATGGTCATGGTTCATATCCGTAAACTAGAATGGAACGAACTGCTGTGTAATAAACTCGCCCTTTGGCTAGAAGATGGATATCTCCCTTACGCCACAATTGACGCAAATCGGCAAAAGCTAATCGAACCTTCTGAATCAATGCCGAGATTTCATCAGACACTAGACCATCAGGACTGATGAGAATACAAAGATAAGTGAAGAAGTCGGTGCGTTCAACTACTTCACTTCGTATCATTAATTCAGGCGATGGTGCAAGCTAATTTTGTAGCAACACTTTACATTTGTAGGGAGAGAACCTTTAGCATTGCTGCTTAAGGTGATCAGAAGACTCTGTATTTTGTCAGCAACTTCAGTAAACTGAACTATACCATTTGAGTATTCTAAGTCAACAAGTTAACCTCTTGGTAAACCAATCCCTGAAGAGTCACACGACGAGAGTGTCATCTCTAAAGGCATGTCTATTACAAAGTTAAATAAAAATGGAGAGAGCACATGACTCTGACGAATACCAAATGAAGTAACCAATTCTGAAGACAGTTCGCCATAAGCTCCAACTCACCCAGTAGTATTCGAGGTACAAGGTTAATATGCTTCATGACAGACAATGCCATAGAAACTCATGATCAACGGAGTCGAACACTATCTTAAAGTCAAGGAATATAAATTCAGTTGGCGTTAAAAAGTATATCCATATTCCAAAATCTGCCGAATGGTGAATATTAGGTCTATAAGTACAACTGCGTCACAAGGCAAGCTCTCACATGGAATCCTGAAGACCAAAGAGCACATTACACCAAGAAATGGAGACAGACATGAGAAGAAGGAACAACAGTTGTATATAACTAGAAAAGAAAGCCCATGTAAGAGTGAGTTGGAGAATGCTGGTCGGTGGCTTATGCTAGATTGAGATTAACAGGAGTAAATAAGTAAGTACTGCGCTAAAGAATCCTATATTAGAACATAACAACTATCCAATGTTTTCTATTTATGGTCTCTATCTAAGATCACTTTACGATTTAATTGCATTTTATCTACATTATCAATAATAATTAGAATTTAAACATTGAATTCTTACATAAAATTTATCAAATACCATCTTTTCCTCCCCCGAAAAATCAATCAATCATCATCATCATCATCATCGGTTTTTAACTACCACGACGATGATGATGATGATGATGATGATGATGATGATGATGATGATGATGATGATGATGATGGTGATGATGACGATGCTTTTTCTTACCTGTAACTATAACAATTCATGAAAAGATTGATGAGACTAAAAAATTAAAACAAAAAAAAAATTTGGGAAAACAAAATTTATCTTTCATACAATAAACAGACAATAGAAGAAAAATATAATCAATATTCAATCAATTTCTTTCTAATTTTGATTAAGTTTTCTTATTTCATGTTATCAGGATGGAGAGGGGTTTTGTGGAGATGTTAGTAATTTTTATATAGTTGTGGTCTATCAGTTAAGTGCTCATGTGTGAGACTGATAGATCCTGGGTTCGAAACTCGTGAGGTGGGATCGTAGATGCACACTGTTAAGGAGTCCCACAATAGGACGAAATGGCCGTCCAATACTTCCAGGTATTCCATAGTGGTCTAGCTTCAATTGACTTATGATCTCAATTATTTCATGTTAATTAATTAAAGTTTCAATCAAGTGGAAATATGTGCTTGTTAGTTAAGTATCATAATATACTAAGATAATAATAAATCATGGAAATTCACATTGTAATAATTTGATAGCAATAAAGAATAGTTTCAACAATGGGAAACCAAAAATATATTTGTACATAGTTTCATACCTATTGAATAAATTAGTGCTGAGATCACCGGGTAAGTAATAGTGATGTTAGATGCAGGGTATTAGGGAATGATGGCAAATCAGTTGATGAGGTCATGAATATTCATCAACTGAGATGGTTGGGACACGTGTTACGTATGCTTGAATACCGATTACCAAGACGCGCTATGCTGACTAGTATTGACGATGGTTGAAAGAAAGTGAGGGGTGGCCAAATCAAAATGTGGCATCAGTGTTTGAAGTCGCTAACTTCTAGTCTGAGCCATGTTGGTAGATCCAAACTACTTGGTTGGAGTCCACATGACTATTGTAACCAATGGTTGGAGACTGTGTGTGACATGGCTCAGAATCGATCATAATGGTGTAGGTGTATACACTTTATATCTTCCCTTAAACCTTGAGATTAAAATTGTTTCATATCTGTCTTTCTTTCTGTACTATATCCTTATATACAACCTTTCTTTTATATATTATCACCACTAAATTAACTACTACTATGAATTTGGTGTTTATTTTCTTGTGTTAACGAAGTATGGAAACTTAGACCGATGCATATGTGTGCCTGGTTCTACGTTGTAACTGATTGACTGAAATAAGTGGCTAGCTGGATTCAGTAACCTAGTGGATAAAAAGTCAGTATTTGAATTGAAAAGTATTCAATCCGAGTTTCAGTCTAACACTAGGATTTAGATACATTAAACTGAAGTCAGTTATGTATTAGGTTTTCTAAACACTGGTTCTTATTTCAACTTGTTGAATAAGGAATTTCTGATAGAGACAAACATATATCATTAACATGGAGTGTGGTACATATGTGCGTTGGCTCAATTTGCCGCCACTGACTATCACAACGAGGTGGGGATGATAAGAGAGATCGAAATAATGTAATAATAAAAGAAAGGTTAAAACTTTAGAATATAGTTTGAAAGAACAGAGTAGAAAGCCATGTATAAAGAAATATTGGAACTCAAAAGCGGAAGATAAATAGTGAATGCAACTGTGTCACTGGAAATGATACCGAGCTGTGTCATATAGAGTTTTCAAATACGGATCGCGGTTATCATGAGAACAATAATCAGGTGATCAGTAGCTTTCTTCCAACCTCTTTCTGTGACTTTCCACTTTTACTAAGTACTTAATGCCTAACTTTAACATTACTGACATAGCTATCCCACTAAGCATCGAATTTCTAAGTTTAAGTAGCATCTGAAAAACTCCAACATCCATCTGGATAGAGTCGAAGTAGTTACATGAAGCCATTGCCAGGGAAATCTTACTCACTGCCTTCTCGAGGCTGAGGTGCTTTTACCAAATTGACAGGACAAAAAGCGAAGGCCCAGAGCTTTAATCGGGTTGGTAGATATAGTGAATCCACCTAGGGGAGTTAGAAAACCCTCATTTCAAACCAATGGTGCACAACGGCCTCACGATCCTGAAAGAAAAAACAATGTATGAACCTATTGTTAGTCACCGATTACCACGGGACTGCATCTCCTAATGTTGCTCCATTACCTTGAAAGTTAGACCTGTAGGTCAAACGCTCGCGGAGTGACTCCTAAGGAAACCACCTGTATCGGATTGAGTGTCCGACCAGTATCCCAACCCTCACACAAATCGAATGACGAAGTGTGGCGCATATATTTTGCTTCTTCTTTTATCAATGTTTATGTGTTCAAATAAATAAATACATGAGGTAACAACACTTAGGAGAAAAGTGGACAATTCCTTAATAGTTGACAATCTTTTAGGAGGAAAGTGGACAATTCCTTAATAGTTGACAATCTTTTAGGAGAAAATCTACCGCCCTTTAGTCCCAAAGTGTCTTTGAATTTCTTAGTTCCCAAAAAAAATTTCAAAAATAATGGTAAACATAAACATACAATATCGTAAGTTTTGTTGATTAGATTTTAAATGGAGATTAGATTAATCAACTGACTGATCTCAGTTGGAGTACTGTTGGAAACCAAGAAGCACTAAACAATAATTGAACTTTTCGGCTGTATAAAAACATGATTTCTCTAGGAAATGAAGCCCAGGATCTACAGATCTTAGAACCTCATAGACAACTAGTGACACATTTTCAAATACAATTAATTTGAGATATAGATCAACGATTATCAGGTTCCCGTAGTGATGACTGCTCAATTCCTGAGATGTTTGAACTCCATTGGGCAAGATTTTCTATCATAACTTCGACAGTTAGTCTTGAAGTAAGCCAATAATCGGCACCGAAACTATAATTAAAATTAATTACTTTTTTATTGGAACGTCTTGTAACTCGACCCCCAGTAGGGTCATGGATCTCCACTTCTAAGAAGTCTTGTATTAGGAGTAAAAAATATCTGTCCCATATTCTAAGGTTTTCATCGGTACTCCAACAGAGGTCAGTCTTTGAATCATACTACTTATAAATAGAATTATAACTTTGTAAGGAGTTTACACTTACATGGACTGATTTATTTGATGAATTCTGTGTTGCATATAACGAAACACCAGCAGAAGTAGTGGTAGTAGTAGTATTTGTGATAGCGCTTAAATGATTTGTTCGTACACATGAATGTGAACGGCTGTTTGTAGTCAATGACTGTTGTTGATGTTGAAAAGGACGATGACTGTGTTGTGATTGTTGCTGTGAGTTTACAGGTATCAATTGTCGACTAGATAACCATTGAGCGATTTCATCGGTTTCATCGGAATCATGAGATCTAGTTGTAGACTGGAGAAAAAAGCAAAATAACAAACAAATACAGTTTACATCACAAAATGATTTTAGCTAGACCGCTAATTGAAAATCTGGAAGCACCACACAGCTGTTTCGTCAAAGTATGGGACTCATTAGCAGTGCATATTCAGGACTTCGCAACAGAAAGTCTAACTGAGGACCTTCAGACTTGCTCACGAAAGCCTAAACTCTAGATCATTGGCCCGGAATCTAGCAGTGTTAATGTTTAACCTCAATCGATTCATAATATTGCTCAACCTTCATTCATTGTCTGCAGTCGATAACTGTCTCACACAGGTCACAGATTGAACTTCATCGGTCACGGTTTCTCGCTAGAACTTCATAACTTGCATCTTGAAGCTAGTCACTAGTGAACAAATTATTATTATAAGGGATACTCGTCGATACACACTTTATGAATCTAAGTAGGAAAACTACTGAAAAGCAGTAAGTTTTATATAGTTGATTGGTCCTAGTATGGAACTCCTCAATAATGTGCATCTGTGATGCTCTCGTCGATGATCGAAATTAAGGCTTTCAAGCTGCGTGGAGAGTGCTTAACCTTCAAACCACTAAATCAGCATCCAGCGGCATTCAGTTACTACTGGAATTAAATATTAGTCTAGTAATTCCTGGATTTTAATAGTCGTCTGTCTAAGGTCAGATCATAATATACAAGTTATAGAATTTCAACAAACCTTCCTCCAGGATTATGTTGTAAGATTAAAATCAACTGTTGAGGACATACTGCTGTGGATGCTACTAAGGTAGATAGATATAAATAGTATGTATTATTATTCGAAAGTGAAATGTATGGAGGCAGAAGGTTAAGAAGATCAAAGAAAAGAGAACGAGGACAAGGAATGATTGGTGTGGAAACAAAAGAACAATGAAGTCTGAGACGATTGATTGACATTTGCAGAAGGAACAGTCAAGTTTGTGACAACTGATTGACATTTAACAAATGAAGTATTTACTGTATGATTCTCAGATTTTACTAAGAGATTCTGTACTTTTGTGTTCAACTACATTCGATTGTCCCCACTTGTGTTTCCGTTCACTATAAACCGATTTTAGAAAATATATGCTGGTTAGAAACAAGTAATCAAATTTCTGTACTCCTAGAAGTTAGTAATGCTCATCGCAAAAACCAAGTGCTTATTAGCGTTACCATATTGTTCCATTGGTCTGAAAACTCGATGTTGCGATGTAATTTCTTTGATTTTGCACAGTTAAAAGCCGTTCCTTAATAATCACTAAATGTATATGCATCCCGTTGATCAATATTATTATTTCTAAATTATGTAGAATCTGATATATGACACAGAGCTTCAAGAATACGTTACCAAACGTCACATTCAGTGACCTTACAAGTGAGTTTCTTCGACTAAATACCATAGTATACCTAAAGATTTAGAATACCATCTGTTCCATGAAGACTATCGATACAGAGTACATAAAATACAGATCCAAGGTGTCTTCAAAAAGTGATGTGTGGGCGAGAATGACAATGATTGGTTGTCTTGATGAGTCAGACATTAGATAGGATGACAGGTGTTATGTGTTTTATATATTCCCCTATCCTTATTATGTATTAACTGTTCCTTGTTGATGGACACTTATTGATGGACTGTTATTGATTGACTGTTCCTTGTGTCGGATTTTGGTGTGGAAATATATTGACGATATAGTCAGGCTAATTTCGTGTTCTTGATTTGAGTTGTGTTGAAGTCCTGTAGAATAAACACTGGGTGGGAATCTAGTGTAAATATTCGTCTAAGGTAATTAACCTCCCACATACGTGTAAAAAGTGAAAGGGCTGTTATAACCATAAACCCCTAAAGTTATAAGCAGCATCCTTCTACGTTTGTAACAAAAAGTCCACTACAATGTTGAGTAACTTAACCTAACTGTTACATAGTAAACTTTAGCCGAAAACATTCAAACAAAGCTAAACACTCCATAATATAACATTGGTTACTCTTCATTCACTGGTTATGGGAAAAAGTGCTATAGTGGATTAGGGGACTTCGTTAATACATTCTTACAACAAAATGTTAATGTATTTGACACAATAACCTTAAACAAAGTATACGATTAATTAAACCTGAAGACAACTGATATTAGGAGTTGCCAAATTATGTGTATTATTCTTACTAATCCATTTTACATAAAAGAAATACAAGATGTTAGTCTCATGCGCGAGCACTTAACCGATAGACCACTCAGCCGGCATCCGATGGTGTTAATGTCTAACTTCAACCAATCAACGAAATCGAGCGACGCATCCACCATTGTCTTCAGTGAGTTGATATCTCTCAACAGACTTGATTGAACTCCACTAGTTACCTCATGGAACAAGTCACTAGTGAGCATATGATCATTATCAGAAGGGGGTTTTCTGAAGATTTTAGTAATTTTAATAGTTGAGATCATCAGTCAATTGAAACTAGACCTCCATGGAAAACCTGGAAACACTGGACGACCGATTCGTTCTATTGTGGAACTCCTCAGCAGTGTGCATCCACAATCCCTCCTCGCGAGATTCGAACCCCGGATCTATCAGTCTGTCGGGGATATAACTCGTAAAGAGGTCACAGGGGTTATGAAAATACTGGGGAAACATTTTATCTAAACAGCACTGAGTAGACATTTTTCAGAAACATCTAGAAAGTGAAGAGTTACGTGTTACGTTTCTGACTGGTTGGTTATCCATCCTCTTTCTATGTTTAGTAGGGTTCCAGAAACTTGCAGAAACCCAAGGCTATCTGAAATGCCATAAATACCATTAATTTTCTGTTCATAAACTAACTTTGGAGTAAAGAGTTCTTTCCACCTTTTGCGGCTTTTCTTTTGCGTTCAAGTTGTCATGTGTGGTGAGTTAGCCTGGGGTTATAGAAGAGCTTAAGAAACCAGTTCAAGCGTTCAGTTGGAAGATTTACCAATTTATTTTTAAATAGATAAATCATTGGATACCGGCTTAATAGTCTAAATTTCTAGCACTCATCTAAAGATCTAAAGATCAAAGGTTCAATTCGTAGTAGGATAGTGGATGTGCATTGATGATTTCTCTACTAAGGCGAAACAGCTGTTCAGCGCTACTTTAATTTCCAGTTATTGTTTAACTAAAGTCAGTTTTTGATTTAAACTATCAACAACAAAAAACCATTCCTTTAACCAAATACTTTTAAATGTAAAAATCCTATCTAAACAATAAGGTTACTTGAGAATGTGAAGTGGAAATTACTTACACCACCACTGGGACCTTCACTTATATCTAACAAACTTTCATCATCATCTTCATCCTCATTATTATTATGATGATTTCTAGCAGTTGAAACAGCAGTACTATTACTGTTACCCGACTCTGTATGATTATACTGTAAACTATTCATTCGGTTACTAACCACACCATTCATTGTAGACTCATTTCGAGTTGTACGACGTAGAGATGATGGTCCAGCTGTAATTGCTAATTGTTGTTGATGGTGCTGTTGATGATGATGATGGTGATGATGATCAGATCGATGACGTCTTGAATCAATATGATCACTTGATGAAGCAGTTAAACATAGTTGTGGTCTAGAATTTGTAAAACATAATGCCGAATCCATTTGCTGATTGTTAGAAGAATTATTATTATCGGAATTTCGTATTGCACGTTGATAATATCGTTCAAAACGATCGTAACTGTAGATAGTTGAGAAAGATCAGATTAAAAAAAACAGGTATTAAGTATCAGAAGGGGTTTTGTGGAGATTTTAGTAATTTTATATAGTTGAAATCATGAGTCAATTGAAGCTAGACCACCATGGAAAACCTGGAAGAACTGGACGGCCGTTTCGTCCTATTATGTTAGGATTTCACCTACCACTTTTATTCATTCAAACCAAGTCCGATGAAGAATTAGAGAAAATAATGAAACGATGAGTGTATTTGTACATCATATTATAATCGATTTGAACCATATCCTCAAAGATCTCTAATCCTATGATTATCGAGTGGTTTTCTAACTAAGAGGACATTTTATTGCCTGTCAGTCAGTCAGTCAGTCAGTCACAACGTAGAACTTCGTACGCACGTACATCAGTTCGAGTTGCCATACCACAGCATTAGCACAGAGATGCAGTTGTCGACTCAAATCCCATAGTGGTAGAAGTAGTAAGAGTATAAGTATTATGTGAAAGCTTAGGGTTTCAAGATGTTATTGAAGGATTATAATACGGTGAAATACATTTGGAAAGAGAAAAAACAAAGGGACATAAAGAATTCTGAAGATTCGAATTTGGCAGAACACAAAGAGTGGATGCGCCTTCGCCATTGCAAACGATTTTGAGCCATGTCATTCAAGATCTCTAACCATCGGTTGCTATCATCTCGCGAATCCCAACCAGGTAGTCTACACCTACCAACATGGCTCAATCCACTTGTCAGCGACTTCATGGATTTATGCCACGTTTTGGTCTGGCCGCACCTAACTTTCTTCCAACCTACTCCTACACCATAAAGCATTGCATTAACTCCATAGACTGATATTGATTAATTTGATTTAGCCACCCCATTATTTCACCTATAAAATTACTACTGTGCTAGTCAGTCAGCCAGTCAGCTACAACATAAGACCAGGTACACATATGCATCGGTCCAAGTTACCATACCTCGTTAGCACAACAACATGAACACAGGATTCATAGAAGTAGTTAATTTAGTGTTGGTAGGATATAAAAGATAGGTTGTATATAAGGATATAGTATAGGAAGAAAATTATAGAGCAATTTTAATCTCAAGGTTTAAGGGAATACAGAGGGTGTATACACCTACACCATTGTGATCGATCTTGAGCCATTTCACCTAGAGTCTCCAACCATTGGTTACAATAGTCACTCGCACCCCAACCAAGTAGTCTGCATCTACCAACATGGCTCAGACTGGAGGTCAGTGACTTCAAGCACTGACGTCACGTTTTGTTTTTGCCGCCCCTAACTTTCTTCCAACCATCCTCAACACTAATCAGAATTGCGCATCATGGTAACCGGTGTTCAGGCATACGTAACACGTGGCCCAACCATCTCAGTCGATGAAGATTCATGATCTCATCAACTGATTTACCATCATTCCCTAATACACTGCGTCTAACCTCACCCGGTGAACCCACTACTCTGCTAGTAATGACTTCATATATGTATAATGCATGACTGGGAATACATAACATGTGAGTACCCTGAATAGATGAGTCTTTTATTAGTTAGGTGATATGTATATATACGAGCATATCTATGACAAGAATAAATATAAATGGAGAGAAAGAGAGAAAGCAACCATAAGAAATACTACTTAAAACAAGCCACAACTAGAAACTAAAAGTAATAATCTGAAGAAAACACATATGTATGGAGATTTGTAGAGATTGGAGCATATTCACAAGTTGAATTCACGAGTTGATTCAAGCTAGAGTACCATTGAAAACTTAGAAGCACGGGACGGCTGTTTCGTCCTAGTATAGGGATCCTCGACAGCTCGCACGCGAGACTAGAACACATGACCTTTGGTCCCGCACGAATTAGTCTAGACAGTCCCAAGTCGACTCAACTAAACAAATCCCACATTAAAAATATGAATCAATATTATATTATATATCAATATTATATTTTCACAAGGTAAATACATTGGATACCATCAGACTATGTCAATAATTCAACAAACATACAAATCCGTAACTTGACAACAAGACTTTAATCTGTTCGCTAAAACTTATCTCTTATTCAATGATCAACAAATTCGCTACGTGCATATTAAAACAAAAGTGTTCGATCTCACGTGTTCAACATTCAGTATGTGACAATCCTCTTGGCAATTTCTTGGAAATCGACACGTCCATTGTTCAATGTTAATAATAATAATAATAATAATAATAATAATAATAATAATAATAATAATAATAATAATAATAATAATAATAATCAGAAGGGGGTTTCGTGCTCAATAGTGACTGGCTCCATGAGGTAATTCCTGGAATTCTAGTGAGATTTGTTTATTTAAACACATAAATATTGGTACAAAGAGACACCAGATACATATGCGCCACACAAATCTCATTTGATTTGTGTGAGGGCTGTGATACTGTCCAGGTGCACAAACTGAAGCACGTGGTTTTCATAGGGGGCCACAACTAGAAGCCTTCGACCTAAAGGTCTAATCCACAAGGCAGTGGAGTATCGTGAGGAGATGCAGTCCCATGGTAGCCGGTAACCAACGATTAATTCATACGCAGTTTGTTCCCTTAGGATACAAGAGTCCATATACACCATTGGTTTGGAATCAGGGTTTCCCAACTCCCCAAGGTGGATATGACGAGTGTCCAGCAACCCGGTTAAAGCGTCAGACATTTGCTTTTCGTCCTCTTAATTTCGTAAACAACACCCCCGTTACGAGAAGGCAGTGAGTAGGACTTCCCTGACAGAGGCTATATATGCGTAGCTATGTGAGAGCATTTCGAGAAGGAGAGCGGACTCTCCCCATATTCGACCGTATCAGGGCATTTGGGGGTATTCTAATGAGAAGTCATGATCAATGGAGCTAATTCATGTCAGGTAGAGACAGTCATCTATCTTAGTACAAGAGAAATTGGTCGCGCAGTTTCACGTACTATATAAAATAATAATAATAATGTTCGGACTTTTCCTGTCTATCTATAACTTGATCAAAATTCTTTTTTTTCATACATTTTCCCTGGAAAAAAATGATGGAACTTGAAAACGAAAAATGATAATGATGGTGATTTTAGTCAGTTTATGTTTATCCATCTATGGTTGTATTAGACATACATAATATTAATAAGGAAACAGAAATTTCAGTCGAAACCAAGGCACTCATAATAACATTCGAAGCAGTCAAGTAGAATTCGAAATATACAACAGAAAGCATAAAACAGTACACGATAGGGAGAGAGAGAGAGAGAGAGAGAGACAGGGAGAGAGGGACGGGGACTCAGTGAGTGATATGAAAATGAATAAATGATTTATATAATATTAATATTAGAAGTAGTAGTAGTAGTAGTAGTAGTAGTAGTAGTAGTAGTAGTAGTAGTAGTAGTAGTAGTAGTAGTAGAATGGAACATTTGAATCGATCCAATTCTATCAACAACAAAAAACAACACGGAAACCTATCTGTTTACATGATATAATTTACGAGTCTCTATGCTTATGTATGTATGTCGTGTGTGTGTGTGTGTGTTAGATAGACACAGAAAGGGAAAGAGATTAGTATGATATCTCAAAGGAATAAACAAATAGTAACGAAGGGAAGAAAGACACTAAGAAAAAACACTATCGATAATTGTGGCAAACAGTATTAAATGTCCAGTAAACAATAAGACATGATTATAAAGGGAGGTATGGAGACAGATAGAGAGGGAGTCATGGAGAGAGAGAGAGAGAGAGAGAGAGAAGGAAAAGCATTATGCATACCCGTAATTGAATCGTTAATAAATCATATTAGAAAGAAAATGACTAGTAGATGTTTTGAATTTTACATTAGAACAGAAAAAATAATATGGTCAACGAATAATCAATTCTCTTATTGTTAAACAAGAACAATATCATAAAGAAAGAGGTCGAATTTTAAAAATAGGAATCTCTAGAGAGAGAAAGCGGTAAACATAAGTTGAATGGTGATTAATACCATCACTATTCAAGTCAAGAGTATACATAAATATACATACCTAAAAATAAAGAGTGATTCTATTTTGGAATCTTTAGATAGTTGTACCTAGATTTCGGTGTTACCGTGAACTCAGCACATATCGCTCAACATTAACAGGATAATTAGAAGGGGTTTTGAGGAGAATTTAACCATGAAAATACTGAAATCTCCACAAAACCCCTACTGATTATAATCATATGCTCACTAGTGACTGACTTCAAGATATATATGTCCTGGAGTTCTAATGGGAAGCAGTGACCAGTGGAGTTCAACCACTTTTGTTGTGAGATAACAACTCACTGAAGACAATTGATGAACGGTTGCTCAAACTTCGTCGATTGGTTAAAAATAAACATTAACACCGTTGGATGCCGAGTAGCTCAGTGGTTTATCGGTTAAGTGCTCTGGCGATAGGTTCTGGGTTCGAATCTCGTGGGGCGGGATCGTGGATGCGCGCTGCTGAGGAGTCCCATAGTAGTACGAAACGGCCGTCCAGTGCTTTCAGGTTTTTCATGGTGGTCTAGCTTCAATTGACTCATGATTTCAATTAACAGGATAATACAAACCGTTACGAATAAATATTATACACAGTAAACAAGTCAGTACCTGTCTGGACTTACTGCCAAAATAATATTCGTACCGTGTAATAAAATATAAGCTCTCCGAATTGTGTAAGATTCATTAGGGATCACAAATTTCAAGTATGGTATGCGATTTCTACCGTCAAATTGTAAATTATTTTGATCGAGATAAGATTTTACACGTACCCCACTCTTTCATACGTGACATTTTCAAAAAACAAACAAGAAGTTCGTACATCTGATCTACTGTGTAAGTATATGTGATAATCTGGTTGATGAAAACAATTTGCATCTCATAAGAGCCAGAATGATTTCATATTCGACGTCATCATGAGGTTAGTTTAATTATAAAACACATCAATATGAGAAGTCATAATTTAGGTTTTAGAAATTTCATTTCGTCGAATT